AAGGGACAAAGATGTGGGGACTAAACAATATGCTATTGAACAAGCAATGGATCATTGAAGAAATTAAAGAAGAAATCAAAAAATATCTGGAGACAAATGAAAATGATAATATGCCATTCCAATTCATATGGGATACTGCAAAAGCTGTATTAAGAGGGAAATTCATTGCAATACATGCACACCTTAACAAACAAGAAAAATCCCAAATAAGCGATCTCAAATTAAACCTAATTGAATTAGAGAAAGAAAAACAAACAAAGCCCAAAGTCAGCAGAAGGGGAGAAATAATAAAAATAAGAGCAGAAATAAATGCTATTGAAACGAAAAAGGCAGTAGAAAGGATCAATGAAACAGCTGATTCTTTGAGAAGATAAATAAAATTGACAAACCCCTAGCCAGACTTACAAAGAAAAAGAGAGAGAAAGCTCAAATAAACAAAATCAGAAGTCAAAGAGGGTAAATGACAACAGACTCCACAAAAATACAACGGATTATAAGAGAATACTATGAAAAACCATATGCCAACAAAATGGATAACCTAGAGGAAATGGATAAATTCTGAGACTCTTACAATCTCCCAAAGCTAAGTGAAGTAGAAGCAGACAATCTGAACAGACCAATCACAAGGAAGGAGATTGAAACAGCAATCAAAAGCATCCCAAAGAATAAAACCCCAGGTCCAGACAGCTTTCTTGGGGAATTCTACCAGACTTTCAGAGAAGGCTTGATACCTATCCTTTTCAAGCTATTCCAAAAAATTAGAGAGGATGGAACACTTTCTAACACATTCTATGAGGCCAACATCACCCTGATACCAAAGCCTGACAAGGACAGCACGAAAAAGGAGAACTACAGGCCAACAGCACTGATGAACATCAATGCAAAAATTCTCAGCAAAATTTTGGCAACCCAAATTCAGCAATTCATGAAAAGGATCACACATCATGATCAAGTGGGATTCATACCAGGGACTCAGGGATGGCTCAACATCCACAAATCAATCAACAAATTGAGGAATAAAAACCACATAATCATCTCAATAGATGCAGAGAAAGCATTTGACAAGATCCAACAGTCATTTATGATAAAAACTCTGAACAAAATGGAGATAGAAGGAAATTACCTCAACATAATAAAGGCCATATGTGGCAAACCCACAGCCAACATCATACTCAATGGGAAAAAACTGAGTGCCATCCCCCTGAAAACAGGAACGAGACAAGGATGCCCTCTATCCCCACTCTTATTCAACATAGTACTGAAGGTTTTGGCCAGAGCAAGTAGGCAAGAGAAAGGAATAAAAGGAATCCAAATAGGGAGGGAAGAAGTGAAACTCTCGCTGTTTGCAGATGACATGATCTTCTATATAGAAAACCCCAAAGTTGGGGCCGGCTCCATGGCCGAGTGGTTAAGTTTGCACTCTCCACTGTGGCAGCCCAGGGTTCAGATCCTGGGTGCAGACATGGCACCGCTCGTCAGGGCATGTTGAGGCGGCATCCCACATCCCACAACTAGAAGGACCTGCAACTAGGGTATACAACTATGTACAGGGGGGTGGGTTTGGGGAGACAAAGCAGAAAAAAAAAAAACCCAAGTAATCCATTGGAAAACTTTTAGAAATAATCAACAACTACAGCAAATTTGCAGGGTATAATATCAACTTACATAAATCAGTAGCATATCTATACTCTAATAACAAACTAACAGAAAAAGAACTCAAGAACACAATCCCATTCGCAATCACAACAAAAAGAATAAAATACCTCAGGGTGAATTTAACTAAGGAAGTGAAAGACCTATACAATGAAAACTACAAGGCTTTCCTGAAAGAAATGGATGAGGACATTAAGACATGGAAAGACATTCCATGTGCATGGATTGGAAGAATAAACATAGTTAAAATGTCCATACTACCTAAAGCAATCTACAGATTCAATGCCATCCCAATCAGAATCCCAATGACATTCTTTACAGAAATAGAACAAAGAATCCTAAAATTCATATGGGGCAAGAAAAGACCCCAAATTGCTAATGCAATCCTGAGAAAAAAGAACACAGGTGGAGGCATCACAATCCTTGACTTTAAAACATACTACAAAGCTACAGTAATCAAAACATCATGGTACTGGTACAATAACAGGTGCGCAGATCAATGGAAAAGAATTGAAAGCCCAGAAATAAAACCACACATCTATGGACAGCCAATCTTTGACAAAGGAGCTGAGGACCTACAATGGAGAAAAGAAAGTCTTTTCAACAAATGGTGCTGGGAAAACTGGACAGCCACATGTAAAAGAATGAAAATTGACCATTCTTTTTCATCATTCACAAAAATAAACTCTAAGTGGATCACAGACCTAAAGGTAAGACCTGAAACTATAAGGCTTGTAGAAGAAAATATAGGCCTTACATTCTTTAACATCTTCATTAAAAGGATCTTTTCAGACACCATGTTTCTCAGACAAGGGAAACAATAGAAAGAATAAACAAATAGACTTCATCAGACTAAAGAGCTTCTTCAAGGCAAGGGAAAACAGGATTGAAACAAAAAAAGAACCCACTAATTGCGAAACAATATTTGCAAGTCATATATCCACCAAGGGGTAAGCTCCATAATATATAAAGAACTCACATAACTCAACAACCAAAAATCAAACAAGCCAGTCAAAAACGGGCACGAGACGTGAACAGACATTTCTCCAAAGAAGATATATGGGTGGCCAACAGGCACGTGAAAAGATGTTCATCATAACTGATCATCAGAGAAATGCAAATCAAAACTACACTAAAATATCACCTTACACTCCTTAGAATGGCAAAAATAACCCAAACAAAAAGTAGCAAATGTTGGAGAGGTTGTGGAGAAAAAGCCACCCTCACACACTGCTGGTGGGAATGCAAACTGGTGCAGCCACTATGGAAAACAGTATGGAGATTTCTCAAAAAAATAAAAATAGAAATACCATATGACCCAGCCATCCCACTAGTGGGTATCTATCCAAAGAGCTTGCAGTCAGCAATTCCAAAAGTCCTATGCACCCACATGTTCATTGCAGCATTATTTATTTAGAATAGCCAAGAAGTTGAAGCAACCTAAGTGCCCATCAACTGATGATTGGATAAATAAGATATGGTCTATATATATACAATAGAATACTACTCAGCCATAAAAAAGAATAAAATCGTCTCATTCACAACAACATGGATGGACCTTGAGGGAATTATGCTAAGTGAAATAAGCCAGATAGAGAAGGACAATCTCTGTATGACTCCACTCATATGAGGAATTTAAACATGTAGACAAAGAGAACAGTTTAGTGGATACCAGGGCAAAGGGGGGATTGGGGTGGGCACAAAGGGTGAAGGGGTGCACCTACAACACGACTGACAGACAATAATGTACAACTGAAATTTCACAAGATTGTAACCTATCATAAACAATAAAAATTAACTTAAACATATATTTTGTTGTCTATAATAGAGTCAATTGAAGGTGTCAACGGTTTCAAGTACATTAGCCACAAAATAAAACCTTGAACAAAATCATAAGCAGAATAATGAAAATATTAAGATGATATTAATAAATGCTGTTCCAATATTATCAGAAATATTAGAGGGAGATATAGATAAGAAACTAGAGTACATGGGTATTTATCAAGAATAATTATTTTGCCTTCGCTATTTTTAATCAGTGAAAAGCTTTAAAAATTTTGGATTTGTGTGTACATATATAGATATTTACAAAAAATCTAGTTTGGGTAATAACTTTTGAATAGAAATATTTTTGGGTCTTCTGAAGTAATAAAATTGAACTGAATATCAATTACAGTAATTATATAATATAGATTATTTTTAGTGCCCCCCCAGTGCATTTAGTACCATCCACATTATTCCAGTTTCAGAAATAAATTATATGATCACCATTGTTATAAGACTCTAGCAAGTGTTGAAAAGTCGTGAAGAAAATAATAAAACAGTGCTTGGGAGACCAAACCCACATATTTCAGCATTTTATGAAGACGAGGGTTAAGAGTACTTCCTTTCCTACAAAATTGCATGTATGCATGTAGTCAGACAGACAGACAGACAGATAGATAATGACAGCAATAGACATAGAGGGTGCAGGCATAACTTTCCTTACCTATGGAAATATAAACAAACCTTTAAACCCAGGCCCTACACGCTGAGTCCAGTTTGTTTGCTTGTTTATTTTAACCTAGGCTATTTTATGACAGACCCAGTCTTTGTACCCTCCAAACTCTTATATTTAGTGATCATTATACTTGAATCAAGGAAGAAGTTTTGGTTTCTTTGAAATTTCTATATGTGAAATGGCATCTCAATGTTTTAGAAATATAGCTCATGTGAAAATGACCATGAAAGTGCTAAATGATGACATAATAAATTGGTGATTTATAGCTGACTGACTTAGCACAAAGATTATTACATGATACCAAATGGGACATACAACCTAAGCTCTGGAGCTACAGAATTATTTCTGATATTTTACATCCTGTTGCTTCCTGTGTACCCATATGGTTAATAGTACAAGTCACACTATTTACCTGAATTTCTGTGTAGACTATGAGTTCTCAAATGTTTCCTAGGTTTTTCTGGTCAATGAATGGAAGATTTCCAGTGTGGCACAGCTGGTGTTCCCACGGTCTTTAGGAAGATAGTCCATGAAGATTTCTCAAGTGTAAACTGGTACTGTAGGTTTGTCATGAGTTGAAGACAACAGAATGTGTATTTTTATATTCACTTTCTTTCTTGTTCAGTGTTGGTAGAGAGTACCTAGCCTCCTGCATTACTCTAGCAGGCTCCTGGGATTCTTTTAAAGCTAGAATATGTTTCCAAGTGGAATTTTCTGGTTTTCAATGAATTTTTATATTTGAGTCCTCATGAGAGTTTTATATGCATCTTCTTTGCCATCTTTACACATCGCTCTTTGCACTTAAATTCAATACATGTTAACATTTGATAAATCTTTTTTTTTTCAGAAGAAAACTCTTTCAAAACTATTACCCCAATATCTAGAAATGCACATTATAGTGGAAAATGCTTTGGTAAGTCCTTCCCTTCCTCCCCCACTCCCTCCCTCCCTCCCCTTCCTTCCTCCCTCTCTCTCTCTCCCTCCCCTTCCTTCCTCACTGTCTCCCTCCCTCTCTCCCCCATCTCTCCCCCCTCCCTTCTCCTTCCCTCTTTCCCTCTCTCTTTTTAAACTTATGAAAATTTTTCCTTAATTTCAAAGACATAATGGAATTTTTTAATCATTTACAAACAGAGATATTTCATTTTAGACGTTACTCAGTTATGACTAAAAGCCCAAACCAGCCTAGAACTGTCCTACACAATCTACCTGCCTCCCATCCCCACTCAGTCCAGTATGTTTTTGACGTCACTTCCTAACAGCCTTGCCCTTCCCTTAACCTGCTCCAGCATCTCTGGTCTCATTGTTTTCTTTGAACATAGCAGGTATTTACCATCTTACCAATCCACTTAATATTTTTCCAACTTTGTTGAAGAATAATTGACAAATATAATTGTATATGTTTAAAGTATACAACTTATGATTTGATGTACATATACATTGTGGATTGATTACCAAGATCAAGCTAATTAACACATCCATCACCTCACATAATTAACTCTTTTCCTTTCTTGGGTGTGTGTGTATGTTGAGAACACTTAAGATCTACTCTCAGGAACTTTCACGTATACAATATCATATTATTAATTCTAGTCCTCATGATTAGATCCTCAGAACTTCTTCTTATAACTGAAAGTTTGTATCCTTGGACATGCATCTTTCATTTCCCCCTTCCTCCAGCCATTGACAGCCACCATTCTTTCTATTCTGTTTCTATGAAATTGGCTTTATTTTTTTTTTCAGATTCCACATATAAGTGATACATACAGTTTTTGTCTTTCTTTGTCTGGCTTATGTCACCAAGTATAATGCCCTCCAGGTTCATCAGATTGTTGAAAATGGAAGGATTTTCTTGTTTTTACAACTGAATAATATTCCATTTTCTATATATACCACATTTTCCTTGTCCATTTGTCCATTGATGGACATTTAGGTAGTCTCCTTATCTAGGCTATTGTGATTAATACTGCAATGAACATGGGAATGCAGATATCTCTTTGAAATGTTGATTTTGTTTTGCTGGATCACATGGTAGTTCTATTTTTAATATTTAAAGAACTGGCATACTGTTTTCCATAATGGCTGTACCAATTTACATTCCCATACGGTGTGCAAGGGTTCCCTTTTCTTCACATCCTTGCCAACGTTTGATATGTCTTGTCTTGTTGATAATAGCCATTCTAACAGGTGAAAGATGATATCCATTGTGGTTTGTATTTCCATTTCCCTGATGATTAGTGATGTTGAACACCTTTTCATGCACCTATTTTTCACATATAGTTTTTCTGATTCATCTCTAATTGATAAAAGTATGTGGTGTAAGATTGAGGTTAAGATTGATTTTTTTTCCTGTCACGTGCTCTGGCACCATGTGTAAAAAAAGATCCATCTTATCTAATTCAATCGCGGTGGTAATTTTTTAAAAGTCAGGTAATGGAATATGCATGGCCTATTTCTTGAATCTTTATTCTTTTTCATTGGCCTGTTTATGTTTTGTGTAATCGATGCTACACTGTTGTAATTGCTGTACGTTTATTGCTGTTTCGTTTATTTGTTTAAATCCTCTTCTTATTCTTCGTCGTTGCTTTGAGTATTCTGGGTCCTTCACGTTTAAACACATTTTAGAATTGCTCTACAAGTTTCCACACACACTCATACAAACGTGGAAAATAACTGTGATTTTGATTTGGGGATTGATTTGAATGCTTAGGTCACTTTGAGGTGAGTGGTCATGTTAACAGTATTGAGTCTCCCAATCCATATGTACACACATAGCTTGACATTTTTTGTCAATTTCTTTCATCAGTGTCCTGTAGTGACCTTGAACATCCTTATTGGCTTTATTGTTGTGTTTGATGGTTTATCAAATGGGTACTTTTTACTAGTAAATGTTTTGTTTACTTTAACATTTCAGTTTTTCTTGCTAGTTTATAAAATATGGCTGATTTTTTTAATATATTCATCTTATATCCTGTGATATATGTTGTTAATTCTTAGGAGGGGTTCTTTTGATAGATTTCTTTGAAAATTCTATGTACACAATCATATCTGTGAATAATGACACTTTTAATTCCCCTTTTCTAATTTTTGATTTCCTTTTCTTGCTTTTGTATATTTGTTGTTTGCTTTTGTTCCCTTTTCTTCCTTTATTGTCTTAGCTGGGCTCTCCAATACATATGAACGTGTTGTGTACATTCCTAACCTTTTCCCTGCAGTATAGGGTAGCCATTTTCTATAAGTATCATGTTAACTATTAGTTTTGGTAGATAACCTTTATGATATTGAGGAAGTGCCCATGAAATCTTGGTTTTCTGAGATTTTTTAAATCATGGACAGTTGTTGAATTTTATCAAATGCTTTTTTTCTGTACCCATTGAGATGATTATATATTTTTTAAAACCACCCTTGTGTTTCTAAAATATATCCTATTTATTCAATTTATTTTACCCATTTTTACAAGTCATGGATCTTTAATATTCTGGTTGGGATTTTAGGGTTTATGTTTGTGAAATAATGGTATGTAATATTCCTTTCTTATAATGTTTTGTTTCATTGCAGTATCAAGATTATGCAGGCCTCATAAAATGAATTAGTTTTATTCTTCCGGTATTCTGTTCAAGAATTTAACAGTATGGGTTTGATCTCTTCCATATATATTTGGAAGAATTCACCTCTGAAGCCATATAGATGTTAAGTTTCCTTGGAGGAAATATTGTTAAGTACAGATGTAATTGATTTGAGATGAATAGAGAAGTTCAGATTTTTAAATTTTTGTTTCACTTTCTCCAAGTTAAATTCTCAAGGAAGTTTTTCATATTATCTAAGTTTTCAAATTATTTGAGTAAAGTTGTTCATAATATCCTCTTATTATCATTTAAAAATTGTTAAAGTTGTAGTGATTTCACCATTTCTATTGATGGTTTCTCTTTGCTCTTTTGTTTTACAATAGAGTCATCAAAACAGGAAAATTAACGTGCTTACTATACCATTTACTAGTCTGTAGATTTTGTTTGAATTTTGACAGTTTCCCCACAAATGTTGTTTTTCTAGTCCAGCCCCCAATCCAGAATCCTATATTCCATTGAGTTGTTGTGTCTTTATTCTCCTCCAATCTGTTAGCAAACTATGGTCTTTCTTTGTCTTTCTTGTCCCTTGGTACCTTTCTTTGTCTTTCTTGGTACTTTTCTTGTATTGGAAAATACTGCCAGTTGGTTCTTTTGCAGGGTGTACCCAACATGAGTTTGCCTGATGTTATCTCATGATTAGATTGAGAATCTATATTTTTTATAAGAATACCAAGAAAGTGATCCTTCCTTCCTTCCTTCCTATCCTCCTTCCTTCCTTCCTTTCTCTTTTCTTTGTTTGTTTTGCTCAGAAAGATTTGCTCTGAGCTAACAGCTGTTGCCAATCTTCCTCTTTTTTGCTGAGGAAGATTCACCTTGAGGTAACATCTGCGGCCAATCTTCCTCTTTTTTGCTGAGGAAGATTCACCTTGAGCTAACATCTGTGGCCAATCTTCCTTTATTTTGTATATGAGCTGCCACCACAGCATGGCCACTGACAAGTGGTGTAGGTCCGTGCCCTGGAACCAAACCTGGGCCACCAAAGTGGAGCATAGCAAACTTAACCACTAGGCCACTGTGGCTGGCCCTTAAAAGTGATCCTTTCTTCTTAAGCTGTTGCTAAAGTAACACTGGTTTCATAAAACAAATTAGGATGTCTTTAACCCTTTTCTTATATTCTGGCAGATTTTGTGTATGAATGTTTTTATTTCTTCTTTCAGTGTCTGTGAGAATTCACTTTTGTAGCCCTCTCAGCCTGGTGATTTATTTTTGGAAAGGTTTATTATTACATATTCCATTTTTTATAGTTATGTGATTATATTTTTTGAACTTTACCTGAGTTAGGTATGGTAAGTAGTCTTTTCAATGGTATTTTCAAATGTATCAAAATTTAAAAACTTATTGGCATAAACATTTTTATACACCATTGCTATTTTAATATCTTATAGGATGTATAGTTTGGTCTCCCTTTCATTCCTGAAATTGGTAATTCATATTATATATCTTATTTTCTTGATGGTACTTATTAGGGGTTTGTCAATTGTATTCATCTTTTCAAAGAACCTGTTTTTAGATTTTTGGGGGGTTTTTATGTTCATTTCCTATTTTATTGCTTTCTTCTGTTTCCTTTGGCATTTCCTCCCTTCCAGTTTCTTTGGTTTGAATGTTAAGATCATTAATTTTATGCACTTCTTATTTTATGATATATTCATGGTTAAAAATTTATATCTAGCCAAAGTGTCTTTACAATACAAGGTTTTTTCATTTGTTTCTAGTAACGCAAGTTTTCATATGTCTGATTTCTATAAACATTTAGTTTAAAAAAAAAATTATGTTCTAGTTCACTTGTGTGTGTGTGTGTATGTTTGTGTTTGACCCTTGGCTAATTTAGAATTACATTAGTTAAATTCAAGATATTTGGGGATTTTCAAGTTATATTTTTGTTCATATATAGTTTCATTACATATTTCTAACAGAACATTATCTGAATTATGTAAATCTTTGAAATGTACTGTGACTTCGTTTTATGGCCCAGTACCTGGTCAGTTTTGTAAATGTTCCCTATGCATTTGGAAAGGATTTATTATATTCTTCCCTTGTTGGATGCAGTGCTCTATGCATATTTATAAGTCAAATCTTTTAATTGTGTTGTTCAGGGCTTCTGTGTTTACTGAGTTTTCCCCCTCTTGTCCTATCAGTTACTAAGACAGTTATGTTAATATCTTGAACTATTATTGTGGAGTTCTTAAATTCTTGATTTAATTGTGTCAATTTTGTTTTCCATATTTTTATGACGCGTCCAAAGCAAACATTGCTATGTCTTCCTCATATATTGAGAATTTTGTCTGTGTGAAATACACCTTTGGAACTAGTGATATTTTCCAAAGTGTCATGGCATTTAGTATAGGAAATTATACTTCTACTATTTGATGATCTTGAGTATTTGCAAACAGAATGTCATAAATAAAGATTTTTCTTATTTGTGTATTTTATAGGAATATATTTCATATATCTAACACTTGCATAATGCAATGTCTTTTGTATGACAAGGAACACATTTTGTCTAGAATGTATTTAATTTTTAATTCATCCAAAAGAAATTTGTAATTAATTTTACATTTCTTCTTTTATTAGCATTTCTAAGCAGTATATCAATTTCAATAACTGTTACAATTGCGAGTGAACAAGCTACACAGATTTCTAAGACTTGGTAGGGATTCCTTATTGTCAGTTTGTGAAATTTGGCAGCTTTTGTGGAGGTATTAAGCATTTTATAATGACTCAAAGAACATTGTTTTCATTAAGCTCCCAAAATAAGTCCATATCTCTTAAGAATTTACCAGTTTCAAAGGAAAACTGCTTCCCTTTCTGTTTTCCTTTACATTATTTCATCTTATGCTTTCTCAAAATTTTTGAATCATACATTCTACATAATTTTTACTTTACATCATTGTGATTTCTGTCTTTTTCTCCTGTAGATATATTTGAGCATTTTGATCATTGTTTTATGATTTTTTTATTTGCTCTTCTTTATTTACTAAGCTTGCAATGGGAGGTGCTATGATTTCCTCCATATCATAAAAAATTTCTAGCACAAGAAATCGCTTTATAATTGGCAGAAATCTGTGAAGTTATTTTAGTACTTCTTGATGATTTCATTTGTTTCTGCTTCAGGCTGTCTTTAAAATATATAACAAGTGAGGGGCTGGCCCCATGGCTGAGTGGTTGAAGTGCTGTGCAATCTACTTTGGCAGCCTGGGTTTGTGAGTTGGGATCCCAGGCATGGACTACTCCACTCATCAGCCATGGTGTGGAGGCATCTCACACACAAAGTAGATGAAGATTGGCATGGATGTTAGCTCAGGGAAAATCTTCCTCATCGTATATATATATATATATATATGTATGTATATATAACAAGTGAGAATCTATTTTGAATGCCCAAGCATGATTTTTCTTTTTTTTATTATAAATGTTATAATTTTTAGATTAGTATGATTTAAATCAGTTGACAAGTCCTATGGCTTTTCTGCCTGGTATCATCAAGATATATTCACTATACAAAAAAATTGCTATTGCTCACATTTTTAAAAGAATCATAAAAAAATTCGTTTTTCAGTATGATTATATGGAATCAGAAATGATGGCTTTAACACAGAAAATTATCCAGATTATTGGCCTTATTAACACTGTAAGTTTTAAATTTTTAAAATTTTTAATTTTTTGAAAATTGTTGAAAATAATTTGTATCCTATCATGACAAATTAATGACTTAATGGCCTTCAATTGATTTAATATCCAAAATAATTAACTGAACTTTTTCTTTTTTTTATACTGTTTTGATATAATAATTTATGTTAGCTGAATAAATATACCATAAATCTTATTTTTGTATGTTTACTCAGTTCAAATTGACTGTGATACTGTCCTCCTTGGAACTGTGGTCAGAAAAAAACCAAATTTCAGCCAATGGGGATGCTGATGATTTATTACAAAGATTTTTGGCATGGAAACAGGACTATCTTATCCTACGGCCTCATGACATAGCATTCTTACTTATGTAAGCACAATGTTCTACATTAATAAAGAGATATACATGAAGGATTCCACTAATTTGATAATTCAATGTATTTACTATGTTCATCAACTTTCTATAGGCCTCTTTGAAAATGTTAAGTAAAACACAGCTACTCCCATGGGGTTGATAGTATAGTTGGAAATATGATAAATATGAAAAACAACATGAGTCAGTTATATAAAAATATATTTTGGAGTCTAATTTATGTGAAAAGATCCGCCTTTCATGAACTTTTGTGATATCAACTGTACTACAGAATACATATAAGCCTTAGATTATATGATGTAAAAATTGACACTATTCAGTTAAAATTACCCATATTATGTTAAGATAGTTCATGTCTCCTGTTTGACTAAGAGGGATTGGATTTTTTTGCTAACATTTAATTTTAAAAAATGCTTATCTTTAGAACAGGCAAGATTTCTTCTTTCACAAATTAAAAATCCCTTTTGTTTTAACTTTTATTGACCAAAACAATGAATGCAGAAGAAAGGAAACCAGGGAGAATTTGAGATAATAAAATTATATCAAGTCTAGGAGTTAGATGAGGAAAGAAAATTGGTATCAAAGTGAATTATAGTTTTCAATGATTTGAGCATTTAGTCTATTAGATATTATCTAGGTCAAAATTTGTATGTTTGAAAAATCATTTTAAACTTTATGGAAGGGAGATTTAATTTAAAAATAAGCTAGTAATTCTTCTGATAATTATACTAATTAAAATGGCAATCCTATAATGATGTAGTTACAGGAAACATTCTAAATATGTGGGAGCAACGTTTCCTGGCACAATATGAAATAAAAGCTATTATGCAGATATTGCTATAGTATGTAATTTTTATCCTTTTTTACATCATTATTTTTCTAAACTTTATATTTTATAAGTATTAAGTAGTTATGTAGTGTATAATAACTTGATCTTTTTCTCTATATGTATATTTATTATTATTTTGTTGGGACAAAATTATTTTAATCTTAGGAAGTTTATTTAATTATAGATTTCAAACATAAATCAATAATATGAATAAACATTAATATACTCATTCACCAACTAGGTATAATGGATCCTAACATTGGCATCAGATTTTCTAAGATCATAAAACATTAGAGCAAAGTTAAAACCTCCTGTGTGTGTTAGTTTTTAACAAAAAAATTTAAAAAGTAAAAAATAAAACATTTTAAAAATAGAGAAAAGCTTATAGAATAAGGATATAAAGAAAGAAAATACTTTTGTACAACTACACAATGTTTGTGTTTTAAGCTAAGAATTATTACAAAAGTCAAAAAGTTAAAAAAATAAAATTTTATAAAGTAAAAAAGTTGCAGTAAGATATTAGTTTATTATTGAAGAAAATTTTTTTTTATAAATTTACTGTAGCCTAAATTTCCAGTGTTTGTGAAGTCTACAGTGGGGCACAGTAATGCCCTGGGCCTTCACATTCACTCCCCACTCACTCACTGACTCACCCAGAGCAACTTCCAGTCCTGCAGGCTCCATTCATGGAAAGTGCCCTATACAGGTATACCATTTTTTTATCTTTTATGTAGTTTTACTATATCTTTTCTATGTTTAAATACTTACCATTGTGTTACAATTGCGTGAAGTATTCAGTATAGCCATATGCTGTACAGGTTTGCAGCCTGGGAGCAATAGGCTGTACCGTGTAGCCTGGGTGTGTAGTAGGGTACATCATCTAGGTCTTTGTAAGTACACTCTATGATGTTCACACAATGTCAAAATTGCCTAACAATGCATTTCTCAGAATGTATCCCCGTTGTCAAGCAACACATTACTGTATATAAAATGTCCAGAATAGACAAATCTATAAAGACAGAAAGTAGGTTAGTGGCTGCCTATTGCTTGCAGTGTTGGGAGTGGAATGGGGAGTGACTGTTAATGGGTTTGGGGTTTCTTTTTGGGGTGATGGAAATGTTCTATACTTTGATTTTGGTGATGTTTGTACCACTTTGTGAACATCATAAAAACCACTGAATTTTGCACTTTGGTGATTTCATGGCTCTGTTTATTACAGGTACCCAAATATCCAGTGAATGACTCTGTCTATTTTTGGTACTACATACCAGTTGCTGAGGTGGAACAGTGAATAGCATGGTAGACACCATCAGGATTCAGCTTAGCCATACTAAGATGTGCTGGGGCCAGGCCAGCTGTTTCTTAATATGCCATTTAAACTCTACAAGTACAGCTGGTTAGTTGTGGAGTCCAAGCTGACTCATCCAATAATGGGGATATCAGGCCAAGAATCACAAGGCCTCCTCATATGTCAAATCAGTTTCATTAAGTCCAATAGGAAGTAGATAACTTCTTTTCAAAAGTAGTGTATGAGGCAGCCATGTCTGGCAGGCAATGAGTCCAAAACTCCAAGGAGTACCTCCATGTTCAGGCTGCCTCTCGTTTGCACTGTTTCCCATTGGCAAGGCATCAGTCACAGATACTTGTAGTTCAAAGGGGTGACTAGGGTTGTAGGATCAGAAAGTAACTAGAAAAAAATATATATATATCCTGTGAAGCTCCTTGGGGGAAAGTGGAACGCAGATTCAGGCAATATATTGTTACTCTTGCTTCTAAATCTGAAGCCCCGCCCCCCAAAATTATATGTATGTGAAATATATATAAAATATAAATAAATATATAGTAAAGAATATGCTCAAGTCATCTTCCTAGCTCTGGTTAGTACTCCCTTTGGTAAACCTTGTATAGATTTTCTCGCTTGGCTGTTGGCAATGGCCTAGCTGTTTGGTCTGCTACTTGGAAAATTACAAAATGGCTGATTAAACATACTCCTCTTTGGGACCATGACCAGTGAAATGAATCACAAATGCTTTTTGAACTGTCTTAGTTATGACTGTAAGACTGAAATAATCTGCTTAATGAGCCTGCACCAACCAGATGGCCATCATCGTTTGCTCAAACCATCATAGTAACAGATATGGTAACACATCCACCAAAATAGACCGAGTACAAATTGAAGAACTCTATTTCCCTAATGCAGAAGCTGCCACTGCAATTATTCAAACTGAAACATGGAGAGAAAAATCATGAAAAAAAGAGAATTTCAGAGACTGTGGAAAAATATAAAATCATCTAACCTACATACAATCAGACTCATAGAATGAGAAAAGAGAGAAAATTGGATAGAGATAATGTTTGAAGAAATAATGGCTAAGAATTTTCTAAAATAGAAGGATATAAAGGACACAACAAACTACTCAAATACTGAGAATGATCAATATAAAGAAAATACACATCTGGGCACATCATAATCAAACTGCTGATAACCAAAGATAAAGAGAAAATCATTAAAACAATCAGAGAAAAAATATTCTGGGGAACAACACTAAGAATGATGTTAGACTTAATGGAAGCCAGAAACCACTTTTCATTTGAAGCAAATGGAAGGCAAAAATCACTGGAATAAATTTTTTAAATACTCTAAAATTAAATAAAATATAAAATAATTGTCAGTATAGAATATTACATCCAGCAGAAATACACTTCAAAATTTAAGGCAAAATTTAAAAACACCATTTTCATAAAACCAAAAATCAGAAAGAATTTGCCTGTATAAACATAGAAAACATTTAAAAATTTATATTGAAATTATTTAAGTAAATCAAGTACTAAAATAATGTTTTGAGAAACAGATATGCAATAACCTTAAATGCACATTATTAAGGGAAAGAAGCCTATCTAAAGAGGCTGCCTACTTATGATTTCAACCACATGACATTCTGGAACAGGCAAAACTATGGAGACTGAAAAAAATCAGTGGTTACCAGAAGCTCAAAGGGAGGGAAAGAGGGATGACTAGGTGGGGCACAGAGGGATGACTAGGTGAGGCACAGGGTAAGGAGCCTATTTTGTATGATACAATAACGGTGGATACCTGTCCTTATACATTTGTCAAAACCCGTAGAATGTACACCACTAAGAGGGAACCATAATGTAAACTATACAGTTGGTTGATAATAATGTGTCAATGTAGGCTTATCAATTGTAATAAATGTACCACATTGATGCAGAATGAGATGGTGGGGAAGGCTCTGTGTGTGTGTGTGTGTGTGTGTGTGTAGGGTGTATGTAGGAACTCGCTGTATTTTCCACTCAATTTTCCCTTGAAACTAGAACATTTAATATATTCAATAAGATAATAGATTTTTATATAACTCTTTAGAGTTCTATCAATTTTTGATTCTTGTGTTTTGAAAATAAAAAACTTTCTTTCTTTCTTAGCTAGAAAAAGAACAAATTATATCCAAAGTAGAAAAAAATCAATGAAATAGAAAACATATAATGGAAAAAATAAAGAAATCCGAAACTTAGTTCTTTTAAAACTAATAAAAATAATAAACTCCAAGGATGATTGATATTGATCATGAATAAAGAGAAAAATCACAAAATTATCAATATTGAGAATGAGAAAAGGGATATCTCTACAGACTATACAGAGCTCAAAAAGATGATAAAGAAGGGAAAGGTATTATGAACAACTTTGGCCAATTCATCTAACTCAGAAGAAATGGAAAAATTCCACCACAAACAGAACTTTCTCTAGCATAAGGAGAAATTGAATATTTGAATATTTAAAAAAAAATTAAATTCATTAGTAAAAAAATTCTCTCACAAAGAAAATTCTAAGTCCAAATCCAAATCACTCCATTTGTAAATTCTAAGACACATTAAAGGAAGAAATATTCATAACATTATACTAACTCTTTCATAGAATAAAGGAGGGGACAACATTTTCCTTTTTTTAAAAATGAGAACAGCATGTCTCTGATACAAAAATTGACAAGTTAATTGCAATAAAAGAAAATTACAAATATTTCTTATGAATATGGATGCAAAAATCCCAAACAAAATGCTGGCGAATTGATCCTGCAAAATAGAAAAGGGATAATACATCCTGACAAAACAGAGTTTATTTCTGGAATGCAACTTTGTTTCAACACCAGAAAATCAATAATTTTAATTCACAAAATTCACAGAAAATGGAGAAAACTACATGATCATCTCAATTTAAACAGAAAAAGGCTTTTGATAAAATTTGACATCCATGATAAGATACATATCATGAAAATCCCAGCAAATTAGGGAAAAATAAATTTCTGACTATGAATGTGTATCTACAAAAACCCATTGAACTCAAGCCCCAGTATAGAAGATAACTGTAACCATTATATCCAACAAAGGAATCACATCTAGAATACATTAATAGCTTCTACATATAATACAAAAGAGACAGGGCCACTCAATTGGAAAATGGACAAAAGTCTCAAAAAGGCATTTACAAAGATGCTATATAAATGGCCAATAAACTATAAAATTGTGCTAAAGTTCATTAACAACCACGAAAATGCAAATTAAAACCAAAGTGCAGAATATCTATAGGTCCACCAAAATGACTATAAAAATGAAATAAATTTGTTTTTAAAAACTCAGAAACAAAAGACGAGTGTAGGCATTGATATGAAGTGGAATTCTCATACATTTCTGGTGAGAATACAAATTAGTGCAACAATCTTGGGAAACTCTTTGGAAGTATCTACTAAAGCATATCCTGTGATCCAACAACTTTCCTCTAGAAATATACCCGATGGAAATCACTACATATTTTACCAAATAGCATGCACAACAAATAAAATAGCTAAGTATGGTTTTTAATAGCCACAACTATAAAAGAACCAAATGTTAAGCAAGAGTAAAATGGAAAAACAAATGTTGTTACATTCAATGTGTAATATACACCAACGGGGAAAAACTAAAGTTATTGTTACAATAGGAATGAATCTCCTAATTATCATATTAAAAGAACTGAAACATAAAAGTACATGGTGATTGGTTTCATTTATATAAAGTTCAAAAACAGGCAAAATTAATCTATGGTGTTAGCAGTAATGATTGTCAGGGGGCCCACTGGAGGCTTTGGTGGTTCTATATTTTATTTCGTGATCTGGTTCTAGGTGTTAATTACACTGATTTGTTCACTTGAATATTAAGCTGTGCATCTATGGTTTGTAGAATATATCCACATACACATACAAACATCAACGTTCACTTAAGAAGTGTAGGTGAATCTCCCTGTTCATTAGCTGGTTCTTAAACCCTGCCTTTGGGAAGGGATTCTGCTGTTTTCTAGCCTCAGAGCAGCATCAAACCGAGTATAAGCCTCCTCCTGCAGCGATTGACGGTCCAAGAGGGCCCACGTGCCAACAGCACCCACCCTCTCGACCCACCTCTGTTCTCACAGTCGTCTGCCTCTGGCAGCGTGAGCGGCCAGGAGGGATCTCCTCGCGCTCTCAACTGCCTTCTAGCCAAGCCAACTGCCATTATTCAGGCTGGCATCCAGGACGTCCAGCCATGTTGTGCCTTTTCCTTCTGCTCCTCGGGCTCATCGGACTCCAGACAGACAATAGTAAATACAAAAACCCCTTCTCTGACCTTTCGGGAATATCAACTCTTTTCCCCGTTTCGCTCTGAAAGGCTGCATATCTCAGGGAAAGCGCTCTCTTGTCGGGGCTCCAGCTCTGTAAGCAGGAGCCCGCTCCCGCGTTGCCATCTTCCCCAACCAAAACCCACGCTGGATGCGAGACGGCTTTCCTACTTGATTTGGGACCATAGGAAAGATAGGAGATGCCACTGCTCGAGTGGATGCCTCAAGATTAAAGTTTCATGTACTGCTCTGCCTTTTTGACCTCTGGACTGTGTAGCTGAAAGATCCAAAGGCCCGGAGTTTATTTGTACTGAGGGTGCTTGGGCCTCTTGCCTCAGGCTTGCCACAACCTGCCAACAGGGCAATATTCCCAAAGCAGTATACCTATTTCTTTTTAAAAGTCCTGTAATTCTAGACAGAGGTGGGGATTGAGGGTATTTGAAAAAAATAGTAAAAGTAGGAGGTGGCGTCTAGAATACTATGGATTTAAACGAGGGAATAATGAAGGAAGCTATAAGGGGATGGGCATTGCTCTAATAAAACGTTTTGTGCCTTGCAGATTCTGCAAGACTGAATGTGCAAATTACAGTTCCGGAGAAAATACAGTCAATATCAAGTGGAGGAATTGAATCCAATGTAATTGAGCACTAACATTTTTACGGTCTAAAAATTGTGTGAATATTTTGTTCCTAAGAAGTAAACCTGACATTTTTCATCCATGCACACTTGCTGCATGTTATTCTGCACCCAATTCTTCTTAAGTGGAAAAGCCGTTTTGAAAATGAACCAAGATTAACGTTTCATAGAATATGGTGCAGTGATGCTTATTATCAAGCCCTAAGTCCTGTCTTATAAATCTGTTTCCCTGTTTAATAAGTGCCCTTGAATAGTCATTGACCTGATCCACCTAAAGATTCTCTGACCTGCCGGGCGGTATTTGGAGGATTTTTTGTTGTTGTTAAGTAAGCCCATATCTTCCTTATATGGGATGACAATCATTTGATTTAATGAAGTGTGATATGAATGATTTTTGCACCTTGATCGCAAATATGTTAATCATTAAGGGTGTACTTTTCATGCTGTTGTAGTTCATCTTGCTTCAGGGTATTAGTTTTTCTCTCTTTTTTTGAGTTAATTAGAAAGTTCCATATCTTTTTTACTAATTCCTAGCACCATTTCTAAAGAAGTGAAATGTGTGTGTGTGTGTTTGGTGAGGAAGATTGGCCCTGAGCTAACATCTGTTGCTAATCTTCCTCTTTTTTTTTTTTCTCCCCAAAGACCCATAGAGTACATAGTTGTATAAACTAGTTGTAGGTCATTCTAGTTCTTCTCTGTGTCTTTTGAAACACCACAACTTAATTTTCTTTTTGATTGGGGAGTAAATGTTTTGGTAATTTGAATGCAAATATTTCCTTAGTAACTTCCTACTTGTCACCCTAATACAGATATTACAAGCTTAAAAATTTCAATATGTTTTAAAAGAAATGCATATTTATGAAAACTCCAAATTTAACCACTTAAATAGAAAAAAAAGTGAGGCATTTAATGGTATTTTAAGAAACTTTTGTTTTATTTAATGAAAAAAATATATGAAATTGCTTGGTCATATTGTAAAATATATGCAGAGTCTATTTAAAGGGAAATATCTTCAACCAGGCATCACTAGATTCTATGGTGGTAATTCCCATAAGAGAAATTGAAAAAAAAATCGTCTGTCCTAAACTGTCAAATTCATAAGGGAAAAAATTTGACTGTTTTGTTAATATCTCTATCCCCAGTGCCTAGAAAATTGCTGGATACACGCTAAGGAATTAAAAGTATTTTTTGAACCAATAAGGCTATTGTACTTACTGATTCAACAAATTGTACAAATATAATATGAGAGTGTATGTTTATAATTATTATAATTAATAAATAAAGAATATAGATCATAAGAGGAGACTATGGAACTTAAAAAGACTAGCAGATTTTTAAAAAAATAACAATGGAACTTCTAGATGTGAAAAATATAATCGGAAAGTAAAAAAAAATCGATAATTGACAGTAGACCAAAGACTTCTGAAGAGAATAAATAGATGCAACACATACATGTCTAGGGGAAAAGGAGGAGAGAATTAGAGGCCTAAGTATAGAGTCATTGGAATTCCTGAAAGAGAGAGAAAAAACAAACTGGAGAAGAGGTTGTGTTAAACATATATTAACTGAAAAAAAAAAAAAGAATCCTCAGATCAGGTATCACAACACAGAATAAATAAAAATCAAGTAAAACCTTGACACAGTAAAAGCAGAATACCAAAGCAAAGATATATCTTAAAGGCAGCTGTGAATAAAAGATCATCTACATGGAAATAATAAATAGACTAATAGCAGACCTCTCAAAATCAACAATAGGAATGAGAAAATATTTAAATAAAAGCTTCAATTTTCTGAGTTTCAATAAATTTTCATATAGAATAATTTACTCAAAGGAAATATCCTTCAAAAATTAGGGTAGATTAATTTTTAGATCACAAAAGAAGAAAATACGGTACTTCAGTAGGTAGAAATTGAAATCGGGACAAAGAATAATATAAAAGCAGGAGCTAGTGAAAAAGTGAATAGCAATAACTTAAAACAAAACAAATGAATACTCTATTGTAATTATAACAAATGAGAGAATAAAAAGTGTGTATAAGTCTCAATCTAGTAGGGTCAAAATAAAATTTAAATAAAACTATTAAAAAAATTTAATTGCTTAAATTTATCAGAAATTACATATATTTCAGATTGAATTTAAAAATATTTAACTGTGAAAGAAACACCTAAATCACAAGGAAATGGAAAGGTCTAACACAAAAATGAGAAAAATTATACAAAGCAAATAGTAACCAACAATTAGCTGCGTAGCCATATTTTTATCAGGGAAAATTAGTCTTAAAGGCAACACAGTATAAAAAACTATTAATAGGGATGAAAAAGTGGACATGATAATATAGAGAGCAGAAATTTAAGAAATGAATAATATAATGAATAAATGTGCCAATAAATTTGAAAACCTTGAGGAGATAAATAATTTCCTAGAAAAAAAAAAACTCATGGGAAATAGGGAAATATGAAAAGATTTTTAAAAATTTCAATCTGTATTTAAAAGTCTCTTTCTCCTCAAAGATACAAAAACAACAATTAAAACTAAGAAAAACACAAACTAAATTATTTTACAGATGAATACAACCAAACATTCAAGGAAGCCATAATTATAATCCCATAAAAAACTCTTTCAGGGAAAAGAAAATGTGGTAACATTGCCCAACACACATTATAGGAACAATATAACCTTGGTACCAAGAACAAGCAAGGACAATATAAGAATGAAAATTTGAGACCAAATTCACTCGTTAATATATTTGGCAAACATAATTAATATAATATTAGCAAATCTAATATAATAAAGTATTAAAGAATGCCCAATGACAAAATGCAATTTACACCTAAATTGTTAAGATGATTGAATCTTGCAATATCAATGAATTGCTTTTTAAAATTATGAGGAAATGAATATACACATAGCGTTAGAAGCAGAAAAATTATTGGTCAAAGTTCAATACCATATGTGATAAAAATAATCTTAGCCTTAGAAGAGTATAACTGTGTTAATTTCGTAAAATAAACGTCCTCAAAGCTACAGCATATTTATGACTAATAGTTAAACTAAGAGTAAAACATAAGAAGTTCTTTGACTATTATGAATAAAAGAAGGATGGCTATTATGACCTTTTCTAGTCAACGTTACACTGGATATTATAATCTAGGAGTAAGATGAGGGAAAAGAATAAAAGACTTGTATATTAAAAATAAGAAGAAATATAGAATAAAAATAAGCAAAACACACACACATATACACACACACATATATAAACAAATATTTAATAATATTTATTGGTAAGTGACTCATTTTTGGCAAAAGCGTGTGTGTATTGTATAAACACCTTACATTTTTGGCAAAAGAGTGTGTGTATATACTTTTGCCAAAAATATGAGTTATTTACCAATAAATAATTTTAAGAAGATAAGGACCACTTTAGGATATAGTGAAGCTTTATTGAAAGACATTATACAACCACTAATAAAAGGAGAGAGATCATGTTGGCAGTGAATAATACTCAGTATTTTCTTAGGTTAATTTTCACCAAATCTATAGATTGACTGTAATTCCAACAAAAAATTTCATGGAAATTGGCAGGTTGATTCTAAAGTTTATATGGAATAGTAAAAGGTCAAAAATTGTTTACTTTGAAGAACAAAACAGTGATTCCCTTTAGTACATGTCAAAACATATTTTAAAGTTTTAGTAATTAATATAATGTGGGTATTGTCTAAGGACAGACAAATAAATTAATGGAACAGAGTAGAGTGCTTCCACAATAACTGCACACATATAAAAATGTATTCAATGTAATGGTATCATTAAAATCATTGGATGAAGAATGGACTAGTTAATAAACAGTGCAAGGCACAGTTGATTAACAGTATGGAATAAGAATAAACTGTATATTAATTCCACATCATACACCAAAATTGATTCAAGATAATTTAAGTGCATACATCTGAGAATAAAATACTAAATATTTGGAAGGCAAGATAGAAGATTATTTTTAGGACCTCTTAATAGGGAAGGATTAAATCATGGGGAAAAAAGCACAAATTCTTAAGTAAAAGATTTAGGAATATCTAGATTTAAATACATAAATAGCTACCATAAACAAAATGAGAAATGTTTAAGACTCACAGAAGATATTTGCAATCCAGATAACGCAAAGGGTATCTAGAATATATCAAGAACTTATACAAATAAATAAGATAAAAAACAACAAAACAGAAACATGTACAAAGTTTAAACTACAACTAAGTGTTAAACTTGAGGGGGTAACAAACATCAAATAAATACACAAATTGAGAAATTTACAGGGAATTGTCAAATAAACACAATAGGGTACTATTTTACATCATCAATTACAAAAGTTAAATCTAACAAAACAATGTGATTAGAGGATATGAATAAAAGGGTAATACTGTCTGTGAATGTCTACACTGATACGATGGATTTGCAGGTTTTTAAATTTCAAATGAAGTTGCAAAAGCATGTAGCTTTAAACAAAAGAAGTCCACTCATAGCTTTTTTGGAACATATGAACAAGAGGACATGTTCACAATCATTTAGTGCAGCATTGCTTAAAATAGTAAAACAAATAGAACTAAACATCCATTAATAGGATAGATGAATAAACTGTGCTATATTCAGAAATTGGAATATTATACCACAAATAAAATAAATGATAAAACTACATGTATTGATGATGATGATGGTAGCAAAAATTTGCATAGTGCTTACTATATCTGAGGCAGTATTTTAAGCAGCAGATATAATAATCTAGCAATGAAATGTATAAATTGTAGAAAGATTATATTTAGGTAAAGTTAAAATTTATGTAAAACAAAACCATCACTTAAATAAACATCCATAATTAGTATAAATATAAAAATATGCATGGGAATGATAAACATGAAATTCTGGATGTTGGTCAGCTGGGATGTAAGAAAGGGAATTAACCATGAGAGAGATACTGAGAGTACTTCAAATTATTTTCAAATACTTGTAATGTTTTTATTTTTTAATATAGACATTTCAGATAAGGAATTTTATATAATTTTCTTTCATGTTTATTTGTGTGAAACATATAACAATTAAAACTAATAATCAATTGTGGCTTATAGAGAAATTCAAATGCCTTTGAAAAAAAATCATGCATAAAGTTGAAATACTGAAATATTGAAAGCTTTCCTTTGGAGATCAAGAAAGAGACAAAGATGTCCACTATTATTTTTTCTATTTATCATTGTCCTGGAAGTACTAGCCAGTGCAATAAGAAAAGAAAACAACAAAAATTATGACTAGATATAATAATTGGAAAGGAAAAAATAATACTATTATTTGCAGATCAAATGATTGTATACAAAATAAAATCCAAAATAATCTATAGAAAATTAGAAATAATACAATAATTTAGTGAAGTCTCTGGAAACAAGATCAAAATATAAAAATAAATTGCATTTCTATTCTGCATAACACAAGTATAAAATGAAATTTTTAAGAATTACACTACATAAAAATCAAAATCTAAATAATCTAACAAAGATAAGCAAAATCTCCTCAATGGAGACAATAAAACAAAATGAGAGAAATTAAAGACTTAAATAAATTGAATATATCCCATGCTCATGTATTGGAGGACCCAATAATGTAAAGATGTCAAGGCTCCCCAAATTGGTCTATAAAGACTAAATTGTCAATTTGTTAGACATCATTTCTTAATCTTAATAAAATAGATCAAAGAGTATTGCATCTAAACTTAGAACAAATTTTATAAAATCTACAAATATATTGTTCTGTTAATTCTTCGCTATATAAATTCTCTCTTGAGTAATTTAGTTATACTCTTCCATTTTAAACATAAATTTTGCAATGGCCTCAATATTTATTAAGCTAAAACAATTATTGGATGGAAATCATCAATTTTTCAGATTCTGTTTTATTGGATAAATTTAAAAATTAATAGGGGCCGGCCCAGTGGCACAGCGGTTAAGTGCGCACGTTCCACTTCGGGGGCCCGGGTTCGCTGGTTCGGATCCCGGGTGTGGGCATGGCACCGCTTGGCACACCATGCTGTGGTAGGCATCCCACATATAAAGTAGAAGAAGATGGGCATGGATGTTAGCTCAAGGCCAATCTTCTGCAGTGAAAAGAGGAGGATTGTCAGCAGTTAGCTCAGGGCTAATCTTCTTCTTCAAAAAAATTAAAAAATTGCAAATTACACAAATTGTATTCTTCCATCCATTTTTATTATGAAAGCCAATGTTTTAATATCACATTCCATTGAAATAAATCACTGTTAAATTATAAATTTTCCTCTTTTTATTGTAGTAGTGTGCTTTAGAATGTAATTATGATTAATATAAAATAATAGCTTTCCTTTTTAACATTCTTCTCACTTTGCCTTTTCAATGTACTCTCCTGCCAGGTGTCCTACAACATTGTAATTGAAGGGAAGACATACACTGTGAACCTAAGGCATAAGTAGGTGATCTACATTATTTCATCACCTGTCTTTGTTCTATTTATAATTATCCAGAATGTAATTTTATTTTCATTTGTAAATATTTATAGTTACTGGCTGTTCATTTGTCTCTTATCTTCTGTTTTAAAAAATCCTTTTAAGTCTATATAATAAATATCTAGAACTGAATCCATAGTGTATGCTCCCATCTTCCTTCTTCCCAGGAGCACCAGATTTCTATTTGGCTATCCATGTGGTTTCATGGAAGATGAATTTTGATAATTTTCTATCAAAACATAAATATGACTTTTTTTCAAGTTCCCTTACATTCAACTTTATTTCAAAGAATATAGCAGATTTTTGGGTGGAAAGTATAGTGATAATTCTTTTAAAAATTAATTTATGTATAATGTCAGAATGTGTTAAGGACTTAGATTATAATTGTAATTAGCCAAATTCAATCCCATGCCAGCTGATGATTTTGGGGAAAACAAGCACATCATACTAAGGAATAAAGAAAAATCAAAATTGTAATTGACTTTTTAAAAATGATAATAGGGTTCTATAAATAATGACAGGCAAAATCCTGCAAGTGAAGTTACCAAATCAATACAAAAATAAGAAATACATCTGCATCATTTCTAGAATTCATAGCTACAATTCTTTTATATATCATAAAATTTGGAAAATGTTTTCTTTATATAAAATGGATGATACTGTTTGAAAGAAGACATCAAAGCTGACTCAAAATTACTTCTTTCTGAAGAAAAATAATGCTACATTTTTGCAAGAAATACATAGGGAAAATCCAGACAGAATCTCACATCAGCTGCTACTTTGGAATGTCAAGTGATGAACATGAGAGTGAGCCAGTGGTCAGGCCTAAAGCATCCTATGAGTAATTTCAGCATCACAGGTACAATATTGATTGAATGTTTAATATAGATTGAAATATGTAAGTATAATTGGTTAGAAATATAAGAAGACCTGAATTAAAATGCTATAATAGTACTTTGTCTTTTTTATATTAGGAAAAAAAGGTATAGAATACACAAGACAACTAATGATGATGTAATTGATGAATAACACATTACACACGCTACAATTAATTCTTTTCTCTCATGCAAGCAAAGCACATTTAAATAAAAACTATTATACACTAGAACACAAAAATCTTTTGAAGAGTAACCACATTCTCAATGACTAGCACAATAAATTTAGAACATAACTATAAATGTTTAATCAAATAAGAACCAGTTATTTGGAAATTAAATAGCAGTTACCATGTAACTCTTGGCTCAAAAAAATTCAAAACATTGTTGCAAAATATCAATAAAGTAAACACAAATAGAATGTTTTAAATCAGACATTTTAGATATGACCAAATCTATAGTTAAAGTAAAATGCAAAGATTTTGCTGTTTTTACATTTTTATATGCAACAGATGAAAATAAAGTGAGTAACAATTGGAGGTGGGAGGGGAGTAGAATAAATTGTTGCCGGGTTGCCCATTGCTGTTGGAGTCGTGAAGCCTTCCGTGACCATCGTTACCGGTCTGCCTCAAACTCTGGCAGCCCCTAGGCAGGGTATCTTGGTAGCTAGAGCTTGGTATCTCATGCTTAGGCAACAGTTTACACAGGAACAGGATGACACTACTTGCTATCTCAACAGACTAGGAGGCTTAGGCTTTGCGCAGAGTAGCACCAATCTCTGCCTTGTCATGGCAATTTGGCAGTCCCTGAGGGCCTTCAAACATATGAAATTGTCAAACTAGGCAACAATTTTATCACATTGCCCAAAGACATTCTTGCCAAACTCAGGAAGTGGACCCAGATTAGAATATTGAGAGTAACACTAATTCCAGTGAGTACTTCTGATATCTTTTAAGATGCTATAGTTTGTCTGTGATATCTTAATCATGCATTTCTTTTTATCTCTATAAAGATTCTGTGATTTTTTCAGTGTAAAGATTAATATTCTTAGTTTAGTTCTGGAGACTTCTTGTCGATTGTTAAATTTATTATTCCCTTTTCCCCACTTACACTATTAACTTTTTCTGGAATGCTACTGAATCTGTAGTGGGGCCTCTCATTTGATGTAAACTTGGGTGAATGATCCTTTTGTTCTTCCAAGTAAGCTATTCCTGACTTACTTATTCTATCACACATGTTTCTAATGTACTCTTTCACATTTCCCATCATTCTTGGGATTATCCTTTATTCTGGGTAATTTCCTTGAATTTTAACTTACATTTTACTTTTTCTCTGTGTATGTTTAGTCTATGTTTAATAACAGAGTTTTTTCAATGACTGTACTTTTCATTTTTAGAATTTCTATACAAACATGCATATTTATGCTCTGCAAATCTCTTTTACAGCTTCCATTCCTGCCTTTTTTTCATTTGAACATGAAAACCTACTTATTCTAGTTGGAGTTCCATTGTTTACTTAATAATTTTTATTTCTGTATCTAAGATTTCTCCCCATTTTCAAGCTTTGGATTTTTCTGTATGTTTGTAACTTTTGTTGATGAACTCCTTCCAGTGGACATTATCTTCCATGATCTTTCCTGAGCTTATTTTGGGCTGTAGAGACCTCTCTTTGAGAGCGGTTTTATAGATGCTTCTGCTTGATCCCTGCTGTGTCCATTAGCTGGGTCCAATGTTTATACTATCATTGTCTCAGGCTATTTGTAATCTGTACCATATCTGCATGAGATATAGTTGAGAGTTTTCATTTTTGCATGTGATGCTGTTTCTGCCATGGTCAGGACTGGGTAGCTTCTTTCTGTCCATGGTCTATGAACAGGAGGTATTGATTTTTCTGCTTCACAGTCGCAAATTGCAGAGGACATTTCTAGCTTTGTGTTCTTTATTGGAAGCCCCACAATAATGTGTTCTAATACTAGGGGCAATTATCTCAAATAATGTGTTCTCATGCTAGGGACCAAAGGGTATTAAACCCTCCACTCCTAAGGCACAATTCTGGTCTAGATTCTGTCTTAGTTTGCACAGCATTACGTGTCACCTGCTCATTCTTTCAGCTGTGGCACTAATCCTTGCTTCTACAGCTTTGATCATTTCTTTAAAGCAAAAGTTGGTACATTTTTTTGTCAAAGGGCTGGATAGTAAATATTTAAGACTTTGAGCTCCATATCGTCTCTCTTGCAACTACTCAGTTCTGCTGTTGTGAAAGCTGGCATAGAAGATATGCAAATAGAAGGACATGGCTATTTCCAATATCACTTTATTTTCAAAAAACAAGTGGTGGGCCAGATGTGGCCTATGGGCTATAGTTGGTTGAGCCATTGTTTAAAGTATAGTCCATATGAAAAAATTATTAATATTGCTAATCAGTCATTGCTGTGTGTTGAGAGTGGAGATGGAGATAGCGGAATGGGTTTCCTTTCTTTCACAAAAATCACTACCAATTACCTTTATTTAGTTGTTGTTTTAATGTTTGTTGTGCAATATAATAAGCATAAATAAAAATACATGAAATATGCTTAAGCAGTTAAATGAATAATTATGAAGTGAACATTCATGTAACCCCTGCCACCAAACGAAATACATTAACTGCACCCCAGAAGGCATGCGGACATCATTTTCCATCCCCCTTATTTGTAACCAGTTTCCTGATTGTTGTGATAACCGTTTCCTTCATTTTATTTATTTTATTATCCTCAGTAATATATTTTCTTTTGGTTGTTTTTGAACTCTAAATAAATGAATCATAATTTTTATATTCTTCTATAGCTTACTTCAGTCACTCAAAATAATGTTCTTGAGATTTATAAATGTTGTTGCAAGTAATTCCAGTTTATTCATTTTTATTATTGTATAGTATCAGTTTCATGATTATACAACAATTTGTTCTCTTATTTTGGACATTCTGTTTCTAGTGTGGAGATGTTAAAAATATTCAAATATGAAAACTCCTATATGTATTCTTTGGCACATGTGCACAAGATTTTCTAGACATATAATTGAGCATAGCTCTGGACTGTTAAATTATATGCATTATCATAATTATTATACATTTTCCCCAAAGCATTGTAACAATTTATATGCCCCTCTGAATTGCATATTCTGACTATAAATAATGGTAGATGTTTTAAGTTTTCTATAACTGATGATTATGTACTGATGTCTTACTGTGATTTAATGTGTATTTCTCTAAATCCAAATGTTTGAGTACTTTTTAAACATGTTTCAATCAGCCCCCTGGACTTTCCCCTTTGTGAAGTACCTACGTAAGACATTTGTACTTTTTTAAAACAAATTTCTAATCTGGCCTTTTCTTTCCTATTTTTAGAAATTCTTCACCTAAAAGTCCTTAGTTCATGATGTGTTTTTCAAATATCTTATCCTATTCTGTGCCTTGTGTTTTCACATTATGGTATTTTGGTAAGGAGAATTTTTCCTTTATGACAAATTATAGTTGTATCTTATATAAGAAATCCTTTCTTACTTCAAGGCCAATGACTAAATCTTATACAATCTTCTACAATATTTTGGTTTTGCCTTTCGTATTTAGGTCTTATTCTACCAGAAATTGACTTTAGAGAATACTGTGAGGTCAAGGACCAATTTAATTTTTACTCATGACTTCTCAATGTTTCAACAAGTTTGTCAAACCTTCTGTCCTTTCTGTACATATCTGCTGTGTGATGACTGTCGTATCTGTTTCTGGACTCGATTAAATAAATGTTTGGTCAATTTGTCTCTCTATAATAAATCTTAATAGCTTAAATATCAGGTCTTTCTGTCTTTTTCTTCATCGAGTGTTCTGGCTTTTCTTATTACTTTTCATTTTCATATATTTTAGAATCAACTCTTCCACAAAGAAATGTCCAGGGATGTTGATTGTGACTTCCTAGAATCTCCACAGCACTTTGGGAAAAATTGATCATTTTACAATGTGGTCTTTTCCTGTTGATGAGCATGGTATATCTGCCCATTTATTTAGATTTTAACACTACTCAGTATATTTTCCTGATATTCTCCTTTAAGATCTTGCACCTTCATTTATATTTTCTTTCTAGGTGTTGCATACTTCTGATGCTATTGAAAATGTTACATTTGAAAAATTTTGTATTCTAAATGTGTTTCTTGCATGTGGGGCAATTGATTCTTACATATTATATATATATCCTTAAAACTTACTAAACTCTCTGGAGAATTCTAATAATCTGGTCTTGGCAATATTGTACAGTTATGATCACCTCATCATCTAATAAAAGCAGTTTTGTTTCTTTATTTCTAATCTGTAGGAGTTTTATTTACTTTCCTAGTCTTATTCTGCTGGGTACAGGGAATGACCAGTATAATAGTGGATAGAGTAGAGACAGACTACATTATTACCTTGTTCACTAGATCAAATAGAAATATTTCAGTGTTCATCATTATGCATGATATTTTGATTGTCATAAAGATAGTCATTCCATTCTTTGTTTGCCAAGTGTTTCCATAAGTAATGGACGTTAAACTTATAAAACACCCTTTACATCTGTTGATGATCATATGTTTTGTTTTAATCTGTTACTATAATTAACTTCCTAATATTAAACTAACCCTTATTTAATGAATGAACCCTACTTGGTTTTGACATATTATCTTTCTGCATATTATTTGATCAATTGAATTTATTAGTATTTTATTTAGAATTGTTTTATGTATAATTACAGTTATGATTGTTCTGTGCAGAAATTACACTGGGTTGTATAATTAAAAGGACTCAAAAATATTTATTACATAACAATACAGATTTATTTCAGAAAGGATATAATGCAACAGTAGGAAGAAGAAAGCACAAGGCAAGATTAGGGAGTTCTCATAGTTGCACAGAGGGCCTTCATTCTCAGGAAACCCATGGCTTGAGTTAACTGATGGGTCTTTTCTATCCTACTGGTCACAGACACAAAACTAGTTAAAAAAATATATAGAATTAATCTATATTTTTAAATAGCAATATAAACAGACTGATTCAGACCTTTAGGGGAGTTTTTTTATGCTAAACAGAATATTATAAATCACTATTTAGTCGATTTTATTTCTATCTTGGCCAATGGTCAGTCCCATGGTTCCAAGCATCCCAGGAGATAATCACAGGTCTGTCACAGAGCAGCTGCAAGTCAACCCTATGGTTATAGCTTATAATTACAACTTATAATAGTCTCTTCTCAGGTTATCTTTTCACTTTCTATCCCTGGAGAATGACTTGAAGAGTACCCCATCTTTTCCTGGTTTCTGAAATGTTGAATGTTGGGTAATACTCACTTGTAAAAATAACTCCACCTGGAATTCCCTTGTTTAGAAACTTTTTTGACCATCAATTTAATTTCTCGAAAAGTTTTATGATTGTGCAAGTTTTCTACTTCTTGAGTCTGTTTTTATACATAACATTTTTCTAGATATTCCTCCATTTAATTTAACACTTTGATTTATGGTATATATCTGTTCACACTATCCTCTTATTTTTTCAAAGACTGGTCTTTCTGAGGTCTTTCACCCTCTTGTATTCTAATACTAGTTATTTCATTCTCTTTTCTTTTTTCTTTGACAAATCTCAGCATAACTTTGTCAGTTTAATAACCTTTTCCATGAACTCATTTTTGTTTTGTTGATCATCTGCATTGTATGATTTTTGTATTATTGCTTTGCTTCTATTTCTTTGTGTTTATTTTGATCTTTGTTTATAACTTAAATTCTAAGTTGACTACCCATCAATCATTATTATTTTCTAGTTTAAGAATTAACTCTAACTTTTTTCTCTAAATACTTTCGATATGTAGAATTTTCTCTACTTTACTACTAGAAAATATTTTCTAGTTTATATTGTGTTTCTTCTTTGCCCCATGAATTATTTCATTGTATCTCTTAGTATCAATGCATGTGGCCCCTTTCTAGTTATTATTTTAATAATTTTTTGATCACAGAATGTTCTCTGATTTCAATCCTTTAAAATTTGTTGAGACTTACCTTGTGATATAATATATATTCAGTTTTTGTAAATGTTCTATGTGTACAATAAAATGGCATGTATTCTGCAATTACTTACTACAATGGTCTTTTTAAATAATAACAAAATATTTCCATATTCAAACTGATTTTTTCATTTATTCTATTATTTGGTAATATGTACCTATATGAAAATCTTCCACAATGATTTTAAAATTGATGTTTCCTTGGATTCTGTAAATTTTGAATTATATATTTTGAGATTATAAAAATGTAAAATAAAATTTTTAAATAGTTTATCGTTCTAGTCAATAAAATTTTGACATTATGAAGTGACCATTTTCTAGTAGCATTTTGTCGTTTTAATTTATCTGATGTATACATAGTTACATTAAATTTCTTTTGTTTAGTATTTGCACACTATACTTTTCCTGTTATTCCTTTTCAATTTTTTTATCCAGTCTGGATTTATTGAGTCTGAAATTTTTTCTTTTAATCAGTCCAAATTATGATTTTTACTTTATAGTTATTCTTTTCATATTTTAAAAGAAATCTTTGTCTACCTACCATCCTCAATCCAAGCTATCATTTTCTTCTTATGTTTTTTATTGTTTTTACTTTCATATTGAGCTCTAGGATTCATCCAGAATTGACGTTCTTGTATTTTGTGAGCATAGGTGTCAGTATTCAATTATATTTTTCATATTAGCATCCAAGGCATGCAGCACATGCTATTGAAAAAAAAAGAAACTTTTCCTCACTGAACTGTAATGTCATCTTTGTCAAAAATCAAATGACTGCTTATGAAGGGATCTCTTTCTGGAGTCTTTTTTCTGTTAGTTTACATGTTTAATCTTGAGCCCTTTTCATCTATAGCAATAGCGCTCAGTGTTAATTACTATGATCTTAGCAGAGACCTGGAGGCCCAGCCTCGTTCTACAGTTTGAGATGTCTTTGACTTATTTAATCCTTTGATTATTTTATAATTTTTGAAATAGTTTTATTATTCTTTTCTTTTTTACCTTTTATATTCCTTTTTTCTTTAGTTTTCTCCATTTTAATGAATCTGTTATTTCATATTACATCATTTTTCCCTCAAATTCTTTGTTAAACATTCTTTTAGGAGTTTCTCTAGATTTACATGTTAACCCCTAGGTTGTTGACTCTAATATATATTATTATTTTTACCAGTTACGCTTTTTAGTTAGATCATTAAAACTTTTAGTTCCACTTACATTTGTGTACTTTTTCATTATTTTTTTCAAACATCATAATCCTGCATACTTTTAAATTCTAATGAGATGTTACTACTAATTTTTGTACAGTCATTATTTCTTTATATTTCACCATAAATTTACCCATTTTACTGCTCTTCATGTTTTTCTACATTTCTATTTTCATCTGCAGTTAATTTCTATGTGTCTCAGAAGTTCTTTAAATTTCTATTGTAGGTCTGCTTATTTTTAATTATATTTGCTCGTGTTCATTGTTAAATATTTACTCAGCCTTATTCTTAAAAACTTTTTTATGAGAATAAATTCTAGGATAACTTTTTAAAAATAACTTTAGGTCTTTAAAATTATCATTCCATTTTCTTCTGGCTTTCTTCATTTTTATTGACAAGGTAGCTGTTGGTCTTATTGCTCTTTCTTTGAAGATAACACCTTTTCTTTTTCCTATTGATATCTTGAAGATTTTATTTTGGTTTTAGTGAGTCTTTTGAAAAATATTTGGGTGTGATTTTTCTTTGCTTGTATAGTGCTTGAATTACGTAAAGCTTATTGATTCTGTATCATCCGTTTTAAAAATATATTTGCTACTATTTTCAGAGATTTTAAGTTTAGCTCCTTGGTTGCTCTGCACAAATTCAAAATTTGGCAAATGATTTTACAAGGAGAAGAGCTATGTATTTGATTCACTCAAATGTTTAGCATCTTCATCCCAGGCCTGCATGACCACCAAAAGTTATACTTATTTTTAGGCTTCTGAGTAGAGGCTTTCTCCTTGGGCCAAACATAGATATTTGGTTTGTTTCTTCACCAAAAAACAGTACCTGCATGTCACCAGCTAAATCTCCTTATTGGACTTTCAACTTAGAATTTATGTGTTCCCTGGATCCCTACCTCCTGTGGATAATTTTCTTTTTTGTGACAACAAGAATACAAAAAATTTTACTCTGCTTGTCAGTGGTTTGTCTCATTGACCTTTTGCTTCAACAAATCCAGGCTGACATTGCAATCACAAATCTTTATATTATACTTATTGGGAAAGCGAAAATGGGATACCTACACCCACCCTTTCTCTCTATAGAGAGCCTTTTAAGCCTATTTATGCCATATTTACAAATAATATATTTTAATATGAGATCTCCATCTAATCTGTTGAATTCATGCTCTATTAGTTCAATATTTATTGACCATTTGTTATTTTCAAAATATTCTTCTAAGTGCTTGAGATGGATTAGTAAACAAAATGGATACAAATCTCTGAGTTTATATTGTGATCTGATGCAGCTAATAATGATATAATAAATGGATTAGGAAGAATGTTAGAAGGTGTTAAATGCTTAAGCAAAAACATATACCAAAGTAAGAATTATCGCTTGGCAATCCTATGTGTTGATAACTGGGAAAGTGGCATATTTTTTTTAACAAACTTGTGAAGATAACCTCACTGAGAAGTTGATATATAAGCAAAGACTTGAAGTAGGTGAGACAGTGAATCTTGCTGAAGAACATCCCAGGAAGGTGCAAATATCCTGAGGCAAAAGCTTGCCTCTTGTGTTTAAAAAACAGCCAGATGGACAGTGTGACAGTAAAGTGAATGAGGAGAGTTCTGAAGACTAGGATTTTAGAGTAAAATTAGAACAAAATCCATATATTCAGAGAATTTATCTCTGTGTTTCTCTATCTCTCTACCTACCTATTTATGAAAAATATAATAAAATGAATATCTTCTCAAAAGAAAAGCTTAGGAAATAAGTTTTCCATTATACACGTTTTATCTTTATTTTACAGATCTTTTTTACCTAATACTTTTAGAGTTTATGGTTATGATCGTACAGGAAGTATGAAACCTCTTGAAGAACAAATTCAGGTATGATTTTTATTGTCTATTTTACCTTTGTTATGTGAGTTTCTGTAATCCCTTTATTTAGGATCCACATGTTGCTAGAGTACAGAGGGATGGGGTTATATTTTGTTTTGGCATGAATTTAACGATTTTCTTTTGATGATGTGTCTTGAGTTATACCTGGTACACAGATGATTAACCAAACCAAATGACTGTGATGTTTTTAATTTATTTTTTCATGCTGATGTATACGTATGTGCTTATGTACTTGTGGCAACAGGGTTGAATATGTCGTGAAATACTTAAAATGAAAAAATATGACTTGAATCAAGAAAGCTAAATCTAGGAAGAAAAAAAAGAATCCAAGACTTGTCTTATTTTCGGGGATCAAATAAATGCACATGGAATTTCATGCACATTTAGGAACATATTAAATTTTCATATATTTGGAACACTCGGAGCTTCATTTAATAATGTCTGTAATTTTTTATAAAAATAATAGAGAAGTATGCACAGAATTGCAGGAATTACCCATACCTGAAATGCTATTTTTCTTTTTACCTTTGCCCTGCCCTACCAATTCCTGTTGTTTTTTTCTATTTGCATTTCTGATTTCTATGTAGTGAATCAACCAGTATGTTAAAATTAAAGCATTTTTATGGAGACTAAATTTTTAAAAGAAATAATACATATTGTGAGTTGCTTTAAATTTTACCCAACAAAGCAGGCAAATATATGTTAGTCATCTATGGAGTAGTCTATACATATATATAAATAATCCTTCGTGTCAAACAGTGTTGTGATATATACATATATATGTATATGTATATATATGTGTGTGTGTGAGAGAAAGAGATATATGCAGATATATATGTATATGAATGGGTTGTATATGTAGGTGTGTGAGTATTTGTGTGCGAGAGAGAGAGAAAGAGAGAGAGAGAGAGAGACAGAGTTAGAATCAGAGACAGACAGATATACAGGGCTACAATGTCCCACACTTGAATTTCATATAATTCTGCCATACCTAACGTGTAACTCTGCTTCCTACCTTCCAGCAGGCAACCCTGAGAGATAAATGTAAAGTTAAAAGGACAAACCAGAGAATGCTTTATTAATAACCTAAATGTAGTAAGTTGTTGAATGTTGGCATCAAATGTAATGAATATATGTGCCATATAGATAAATTATGCTCTGCAAAGCTGCATGCCTATCTCCAGTGTAGGAAAAATCAGGAAAGCTTATTAAATAAGGTCAAAACCAGGTAAATTTGATTTTCATGAATTCTACAGATGATTTTCATCCCTAAAAGTCATATTATCTTGGTAAATACAGACTTATCTACAAAAGAATAAATCAGCCAGTTAAACACAGAAAGAATTTATTCCCTGTATGTAGAGCTTACAAGTGTAGACCATTCATCATTGTCGTAGACTTTATGATCTCTCCAGGACAAGCAGAGAGATATTCATCATGAGTAAAAGCTAAAATTGCCAGGATGGCATAACAATCCAAAATGTATATGCACATAAAAATGGACCTCAAATTACAGGAGGCAGAAATTAAAGACGAAATAGATAAAATATTGCTATAATTGAAGATTTAAACATTCCTCTCTCAATGATTGATGAATGAAGTAGAAAGAAACTCAGCAAGTATGTTGGTGACTTAAGCAGATCTATCAATCAAGTCGACCTAATCAACTTTTATAAGAGATGATACACAATAACAAGAGTGTACACATTCTTTTTGAATGCAGATAGAATATTGAACAAGACATTATAAAGGAAAACAGTGCAAAAGAATGGCAAGGCTAAAAATTAAAAAACTATAGAAGGAAATTGTGTAATAATAATAATAAGCCTTTTGATTCCTCCATGAAAATTTTATCCTATGTTGACCTAAAAATGATTTGTTTATTGATTTCCAACTTTTGCAATCACTGTATTTTTAAGGTCGATATAACAGTTATTGTTCCAAAGAGTTAGAAATGTTATCAATCTGGGTAATGCAAACAATGTTTGGAAGAAAGTGGACAAAACTTGCTGGAAAGGTAGATGTATTTTACCTTAATCACATAAAGTATGATTCATAAAGTCCTATGTGGACCCACAATCAAAAAAATACAAAATAGTCCATTATGATGATATGTCAATGAAATATGTAAAAAGAAATGAGACGCTGTTTTAGTCTGTCTAGTTAACATAAAGAAACCACACAGTAATTTAAACAGGGAAAGTTTAATATAAAGAGTTATTAACAATAACAGAGGTTAGAGTGAAAAATAAGAAGTGAAAAAAAACTCTAAAGAACATAGGAATACCAGATACAAGAAGCAGCTGGAAACCCTAGGCCTGGGCTAAGGAAGACAATCTCCTCACCCTAGAGTTGAGATCTAAATCTTGTTAAAAGGGGCACAACCATGGGTCTCTGAATAGCAGGAAATCACTGTAGTGCTGTACCAACAGATCTTACTGTAAAATTTTTCTTTAGAACTTTCTGGAAATCTGCCCTTTGCAGTAGCCAGGAAATCTGTTCACAAGGAATTATTTTACCAAAGCCACTCTGCTATGAAAGGAGAGGGGCCTGGATGATGGAAGGAAATACTGGCTGATGAGTGATAGTGGCCACCACACTGAAGAATCTGGGTACTGGAGAATCTCTAAGCACTGAGGGATCCTGGTGTTGCTATAATCTGTTCACTCTGTAGGAGCCTACCCAGTTTGCATACTGGAACCAGAATGCAAAGCTCTATTCTCATGCTCTCCAGCAACCTTTACTGGTAAAGTTTCAGTGCCATCTGGCAAAGAAAGAAATAATTGAGGGGCCCAGATTCATTTACATAAAGCAGGCAAAAGGTCAATTTGAAGCTGAGTGGCAATACATAAATAATTGACTACTCAGCTTCCATATGCACTCTTTTATACACATTTGAACTCTGTAAAACAACAAAACCCTCCTACATTTCTATTTAACAAGATTCAACTATCTTTTTTTATGGTGAGGAAGATTGACCCTGAGCTAACATCTGTGCCGATCTTCCTCCACTTTGTATGTGGGACACCACCACAGCATGGCTTGATGAGCAGTGTGTAGGTCTGCACCAGGGATCCAAACCCACGAACCCTGGGTCACCAAAGCAGAACATGCAAACTCAACTACTTCACCACCAGGCCAGCCCCTCAGCTGTCTTTTTTATAAGTGAAGAAATTTTCACCCTTTCTCCAAAATGAGAAGGCACACAATCAGAAGAGTCATTGTCTTTATTGCTAGTTATATTAATTTCTCCTCAAATTCAGTCACAGTCCTACTGAATACTATGTTAACTAGAGAATGAATTGTAAAGTTATCCTCCAACAACTTGTATTTAAAGTAATAAGAAGAGGAAGGTAAAGAAGAAGAAAATGGCCAGCATATACATGTAAACAGATACATACACATTTAACAAGCAAAGAGAAAATATGCAAAGCTACTGTAGTTTCATTTCTGTAATAAACCATGATTGCTATTTATGGCTTCTTTTTCCCGGCACCTATTCCCCATTTCAGTTGCTTTCAGCAGGAACCTCAGCTTGTTAAAGATATTTACCTAGCAGAATGGTGCAAATCTTTATTCCGAAAGAGTCTGCATCCTTAATCATACTTTGTTTTGGTTGCTGTCATAATCAACTGGGTTCAAAACGTAGCCTTTCTTGTCTCCATTGGTAAAAGCAAATGCTTTCCCTTTGACATTCAGAGTTAGTCATTCTAGCCACTAGATTAGCCTGTTTGTTCAGTGGCATAAGGAGCTCAAAATATCCAGCTGGAAGTTTCATCTTCCAAATTAGTGAAACTGTTATTATGTCCCCTGGTGGATGAATTCCCCAATGGGTACTAGGAGCTAAAGGTTACTGGTATGTAAAGCGAAAATTCTACAAGAGTTATTAGGTATAATGGTGAGAGGAGACACTCTTATTTCTGTCAGGAAATTGTTGACACCCTAATTGCTGTCAGGAAACCATGCCATGTAATGGTCTCTGATTCAAACATAAGACCAGCCTTTCAGACTAATGTCTCCCAACTGGCGTGGTAAATGCATTTTCAGTAACCTAGTCTATCTTTCAATTAGGCCAAGTGCTTCCAGATGATGTTAGAGTATATGGTAAGACGTTAATTTCAGGTACATAAACCCATTGCTGCACTTCATTTGCTGGGAAATAAGTTTCTGTATCAGACACAATGCTGTGCAGACTGCCACGACAGTAAACAAGGCATTCTATGAGTCCATGAGTGCTGGTGGGGGAAGAAGCGCTATTGATAAGGAACGCAGTTTGTATATGTTTTAGGAATTTGTCCATTTATCTACATTATCTAATGTGTTGTCATACAATTATTCTGAGTATTCTCTCATACTCATTTTTATTTCTGTAAGGTTGGTAGTAATATCCTGCTTTAATTTCCAATTTTAGTAATGTGAGTCTTCTCTTTTTTTCTTATTCAATCTAGCTAAAAGTTTGTCAGTTTTGTTTATCATTTCAAAGAGCCAGTTTTTGGTTTCGTTGATTTATTCTATTCTTTATCTATTATTTATTTTATTTCACTCTAATCTTTATTATTTCCTTTCTTCTGCTTGACTTAGGTTTAGTTTGTTTTTTTTCCAGTGGATGGTTAGGATATTTATTTGAGATCTTTTTTCTTTCTTAATATATGAATTTATCCATATAAAATTTATCTCTAAGTACCACTTTAGCTGCATCCCATTAGTTTTAGTGTGGTATGGCTTCATTTTCATTTATCATATTTTCTGTTTTTGAATTTTATTTCTTCTTTGACCCACAAGTTATTTAGGGATGTGATGTTTAATTTCCACGTATTTGTGAGTTTCTCTAAATTTTTCTGTTATTTCTAATTTTACACATTATTATCACAAAACATGTTTTATTATTTGTATACTTTTAAATGAATTGAAGCTTTTTTATGGCTTATCCTGTGGTCTATCCTGGAAAATGTTCCATGTGCACATAGGAAGAATGTTTATTGTGTTGTTATTTGGTGGAATGTTTTATAGATATCTGTCTGCTAGGTTTAGTTGGTTTATGGTGTTTTCAAGTCTTGTATTTCCTTGCTGCCTAGTTGTTCTACCCATTATTGAAAGTGAGAAAGAGAGGAAAAAATTCTTCAATTATGATGTTGAATTGTCTATCTCTCCCTTCACTTCTACCTATTTTTGGTACGTACATTTTGATGCTCTCATTTGGTGCATCTATGTTTACAATTGTTATATCTTCCAGATCAGTCGAACCTTTTATTATTATAGAACACTGCTTTTTATTTCTAGTAATGATTTTTTCTTTTGAAATTTCTTTTGTCTATTATTAGTATAGTCATTCCAATTTGCCTCTGGTTGCTATTTGCAAGATACATCTTTGTTCATCCTTTTGCTTTTAGTCTATTTGTGTCTTTGAATTCAAAGCATGATACTTATTGACAGTTTATAGTTGTGTCTTGTTTTTTACTTTGTCTGACAATGTCTGCCTTTTATTGGATTGTGTTGAACTCAATCACATTTAATGCTATTATCGATATAGTTTTATTTATATCTGCTTTTTTATTTTTTATTTTTGAAATATTAGCTACCTTGTGCTGCCATGCCTCTGAGAGTGCCCTCAGATGAAAACCAGTGTGAATGCAAATCTCAATAAATGCAGTTTTCTTTTTTCTGGTGTTGATTCTCTTCTCGCACCTTTTCCTGCCTGCCTTTGTAGTTGGAGTTTAAAAATTATTTTTCCAGAGTTTACACTTCTTATCAATGAGAGAGTTAATTCAAGGCGAGCTACTCTGCCATCACACGCAAGTAATTTAAAAAAAAATTCTCTTTTGGATTCTTTTTTTTTTTTATCTCTACCTTGAAAAATTGTCAGGAAAGTATGAAAAAATAAGTTTTTGATGATTTTTACCTTGGTCCTAATGACTGAGAATGTCATGTTTAATTTGTAACAGGAGAAAAATATGGATGTGTACCTATTCTTTTTGAATCTGTGGGGAAAAGTTTGGATAATTGAACCAAATGCTCACCTAATAATCTTATAAATCTATTTTGAAAACAAAGAATGTTTGACACATACACACAAATAAACATATTGTTTAAATATTTGAAAACTGTACCTTTAACGTGAATTATTCTAATAGAAGTGTGTATTTTATCTTTATTTTTCAGAATTTTTGCTACTACCAAGGGCATATTGAAGGTTATCCAAATTCTATGGTGATTGTTAGCACATGTACTGGACTCAGGTTGTGATATATAATTTTATCATTACAAAATAAAATATTTTTTTAGAAATAATTTTTAAATTTTTAAAAGTATATTCAGGGGTCCTAAAGTACAAGGTATGACTTATTATGGGAAACTATCATTGGAAAAGCATATGGAAATTCTTGTAATGTCTCTTACCCTTATCCTGAATGAAGATTTTTGATAGATTTGGATACTATGAAATATTAATAGCTAAGTGAATACCAATACCATTACTATTCTGTGCCACTCAGTAAGTTTGTGCATAATCAGTAACTTTTTCCTACTTTACCACCTAAGACTAAGACTGAAAATAGTTTGCATGCTATTAAAAAAAACTGATTAAGTAGCATTTTGTTGACTTAAACATGCATTATTTTATTTATTCACTTATTTTTTGGCATTCATAGGGGTTTACTACAGTTTGAAAATGTAAGTTATGGAATTGAGCCCTTGGAGCCTTCAATTGGCTTTGAACATGTGATTTACCCAGTAAAACATAAGAATGCACGTGTTTCTTTGTATACCGAGGACAGTATTGAGTCAAGAGAAGTGACCTATAAAATACAAAGTATAGAGGTAGGTGATTAATTGAGTAAACTATATGTTATTACTATGCAGCAATATATTTTTTGATAAACAAACTATTTACATTAATGTATATTATAGATAGATAAATGCACCAGAAACTTCATAACTTACCTTGCAAGCCTTAAAACTAGTCATTCAGTTTTCTACAATTCCGAATTGGCATTTTCCACTGTTAGTGGCATTTTTTCCAGTGATCTAGACCTTTATTGTTTGCAGATGCACTTCTTTCTCCATATACATCATCCCAAAATTTTGATATAGTAATCACAAAGGCCATTCACATAAATATTGAAGATATGTTTAGGGTCGTGAGGAGAATCACCAGTGTCTTTTAAGGCAACTTCCTCAGAGGAGGCCATTACATTTTCCTCAAGAAATGTAGGGTTAATCTCCTTATACCAGGATGGAGAGGCTGCTGCTACTGGCAAAGACAACTCATCAAAACTTAGGGGTTCAATGACCCTAGCTTCATCAGTCTTCCCAAATATCTTCATTCCAATTTTTGGGATCTCATTCCTTCCTCATTAATGCCCTGAATTTAACAGTAGACACTCTGTGAGGTTGGTAATTCTTCCACTCACAGAATGAGACTTTTGGTTTGTTTTTCAGCAATCTCAGTTTTGCAGCTACAGATATTTTTCAGGGCAGATATTTTTCCAGAGAAACAGAACCAACAAGATATATGTATATATAATATGTGTGTGTTGTATGTATTTATATATCTGTTCACACACACACAAATGTGGAGAAAGAGAGAAAATCCTAAGGGTAGATTGGCAGTCTGGAGACCTAGGGAAGAGTTACGTTCAAGTCCAAAGGTAGTCTGGTGGCAGAATTCCTTATTGTTTAGGAGGTAGTCTTTGTTCTAATAAGGCCTGCAACTGATTAGATGAGATCCCTCCATAATATTAAGTGCAATCTGCTTTACTCAATGTCCACCAACCTAAATGTTTATGTTATCCAAAAATCACCATCACAGAAACACTCAGAATAATATTTGACCAAAAATCTTGGTATTGTGGCCCAGTCAAGTGACAGATACAATTAACCATCACACCAGGGTTACAAAATTTATTCCTATATTTCTTTTAAGAGTTTTATTGTTTAATCTCTTTCATTTTAATATAAGATCCAATTTAAGTTAATTTTTGTATGGAGTGAGATAGGGTTCTAAATTAATCATTTTTACTTGGATATCTATTTTCCCAACAGACTTTGTTGAAAAGTCTATTCTTTGTTCCACTGAATTTTCATGGCCTTTTTTTTTTTTTTAATGTTATGATAGATTACAACCTTGTGAGATTTCAGTTGTACATTTTTGTTAGTCATGTTGTGGGTACACCACTTCCCCCTTTGTGCCCTCCCCCCACCCCCCCTTTTCCCTGGTAACCACCGATCAGATCTCCTTATCAATATACTAACTTCCACCTATGAGTGGAGTCATATAGAGTTCGTCTTTCTCTGACTGGCTTATTTCGCTTAACATAATACCCTCGAGGTCCATCCACGTTGCTGTGAATGGGCCAATTTTGTCTTTTTTTATGGCTGAGTAGTATTCCATTGTGTATATATACCACATCTTCTTTATCCAATCATCAGTTTCTGGGCATGTAGGTTGGTTCCACGTCTTGGCTATTGTAAATAATGCTGCGATGAACATAGGGGTGCAAGGGAGTCTTGGGATTTCTGATTTCAGGTTCTTAGGATAGATACCCAGTAATGGGATGGCTGGGTCATAGGGTATTTCTATTTTTAACTTTTTGAGAAATCTCCATACTGTTTTCCATAGCGGCTGTACCAGTTTGCATTCCCACCAACAGTATATGAGGGTTCCTTTTTCTCCACAACCTCTCCAACATTTGTCGCTCTTGGTTTTGGATGTTTTTGCCAATCTAACGGGTGTAAGGTGAGATCTTAGTGTAGTTTTGATTTGCATTTCCCTGATGATTAGTGATGATGAACATCTTTTCATGTGTCTATTGGTCATATTCATATCTTCTTTTGAGAAATGTCTGTTCATGTCCTCTGCCCATTTTTTGATCGGGTTGTTTGTTTTTTTGTTGTTAAGCAGTGTGAGTTCTTTGTATATTATGGAGATTAACCCTTTGTCAGATAAGTGGCTTGTAAATATTTTTTCCCAATTAGTGAGCTGTTTTTTGTTTCAATCCTGTTTTCCCTTGCCTTGAAGAAGCTCTTTAGTCTGATGAAGTCCCATTTGTTTATTCTTTCTATTGTTTCCCTCAACTGAGGAGTTATAGTGTCCTAAAAGATTCTTTTGAAACTGATGTCAAAGAGTGTACTGCCTATATTCTCTTCCAGAAGACTTATTGTTTCAGGCCTAATCTTTAGGTCTTTGATCCATTTGAATTTATTTTGGTGTGTGGTGAAAAAGAATGGTCAACTTTCAATCTTTTGCATGTGGCTGTCCAGTTTTCCCAGCACCATTTGTTGAAGAGACTTTCTTTTCTCCATTGTAGGCCCTCTGCTCCTTTGTCGAAGATTAGCTGTCCATAGATGTGTGGTTTTATCTCTGGGCTTTCAATTCTGTTCCATTGATCTGTGGACCTGTTTTTGTACCATTCATGGCCTTTTTTTTGAAAGGTCATTTGACCAAAAAAGTTAGGGATTATTTCTGCACTTCCAATTATATTTCATTGATTTTTATGTCACTTCTTATGCCAGAATCACACTTTTTTTTTTACTACTATACCTTTTCTTTTTTTTTTTTTCAAAGATTTTATTTTTCCTTTTTTTCCCCAAGACCCCCCAGGTACATAGTTACATATTTTTAGTTGTGGGTCCTTCTAGCTGTGGCATGTGGGATGCCGCCTCAGGGTGGCTTGATGAGTGGTGCTATGTCCATGCCCAGGATCCGAACCAGCAAAACCCTGGGCGACCTAAGCAGAGCGCGAACTTAACTGCTTGGCCACTGGGCCAGCCCCATCACCATACCTTTGATGTAAGTTTTGGAATTAGTAAGTGTACATTCCTCAATAATGTTCTTTTTCAAGATTGTTTTGGCTATTTTGGTACTATGCATTTCCAAATGAATTTTAAAATTCATTTATTCTCAATTCTCTTAAAAAGTCAGCTGGAATTGTGTTGATTCAGTACATTAATCTGGGGAATATTACCATTTAATAATATTAACTCTTCCTATCCATGAACATTGAATAGCTTTTTGTTTTTAGGTCTTCTTTAATTTCTTTCTGCAATGTTTTGCATAGTTCAGTCTTTAATTCATCAACACAACTTCTTTTGTTAAATTTATTTTTACAAATTTTATTATTTAAATGCTATTGCACATGTAATTTTTATTTCAAATTTGGATTTCTCATTATTAGTATTTGGATATTATTTTTATATACTAATTTTATATTCTACTAACTTGTTGAAAATGTTTCTTAGGTTTTTATTGGATGCTGTGATTTTTCTTTGTATGAGATCACGTCATCTTAAATAAAGATAGTTTATGTTCTTTTCAATTGATAGTTTTCAATTATTTTTTATTGCCTAATTGCTCTAGTTAGCACCTCCAGTATAATGTTGAGTAACTGAAAAAGATCTAGTCTTGTGCTAATCTTAGGAGTAAAGGATTCAGTCCATCACTGTTAAGTATAATGTTAATGGTGAAATAAAATAAAATCTCCCTGGAATTTTTCTTTCTTTCTTTTTTTTTTTTTTGAGGTAGATTAGCCTTGAGCTAACATCCACCACAAATCTTCTTCTTTTTCCTGTGAGGAAGACTGGCCCTGAGTTAACATCCATGCCCATCTTCCTCTCCTTTACATGTAGACACCTGCTGCAGCATGGCTTAACAAGTGGTGCATAGGTACACACTGGGATCTGAACCTGCAAACCCTGGGCTGCTGAGGCAGAACATGTGAACTTAACCACTGTGCCACTGGGCTGGCCCGAAAACCTTCCTTGGAATTTTTTGACTCACTTTACTTTCTGATAAAACGCTCCTGTTTTTCATTCTATCTCACTTTTTCTGACTTTTCCTTATACATTCACATTCTAGATATTGATATTTCCTATATTATATCTCAGTGTTTTGTTTGTCTTTTGTATTTTCCATGGCTTTATCTACTGTGATTTACACATCTCTCATTCTCATTCCTAAATTTTTCCTGAGTTATTGATCCCATATTGGACATAATGGTTGCCCAAGTTAAACAAAATACACAAACACGCACATAATCTATCTATGTAGCTATCTATTTGTCTATCATCTATCTGTCTAATCTATCATCTTCATGTCCCTTCTCCCCGAATATTCTTACCAATGGCCTTTGACATCCTTTACATTTAACTCTTTATTTATATTGCAATTGGATCATCCAGTAGTGTTCTCTGTCTTCTCATCTAGATCCAATTCTTTAGTGTTTATTTAACCAAAGTAAACTTTCTCGTAATCAGAGTCATCTTTATAAAACACATAGTTAAGCAATTCATCTCCTCCTATGGCTACTTTATCTTACTAAATAAAATGGCTTTTGAGATCTTTTTAAACCTAACACTTGAACACCTTTCCAACATCCACATTTCCTGGCATTCTTGTATGCACACATCATAAGGTTTTATTTATTTGGCTAAAATGGACTATGCATCTTTTCTTCATAAAACCGTATTGTTTGGTAAATGAATAAATTATTATTAACTAAATATCACCAATCCCAATCTCAAAAATGAGAATGAACAAAAATTACTTCAGGAAATGTTAGGTAACAAACATGTTGGTTAAAACAAATAAACAGTTTTGAATTCCTCAACCCATTAATATATTGTTTCTCTCAATTAACTTAAATGTTTATTTTTATCCTCTAGATAAGTAGTGCCATTTCCTTGTTTGGTTGTAATTTCCTTTAATAAAAGTATGAAAATTATCATGAAACATTTGGTGCTTAATTTTGGATGGAAATGATAAGGAACCAGTTAGACCATAACAGGATTTCATCTGCATTTTTTGAGACGAATCCCCAAATTTCCAGGGTTTGGGTGAAGAAAGAATTTCAAAGTGAGGGAAAAATGGGTGACCAATCAGCCCTAAATTTGTCTTACTGACCTTTCTCAACTTTTCTTTTAAATTGCTATAACCATCACTTTTTTGATCTCTGCTAAATCCCAGATTTGTTGTTTCTTCATTAGTGCTCCTTTCATATGTTAAGGAAAACGGTTTAACTAAAATGTGACACTTTTGAACTTTCAAGGGATTAAATATCAATTTAAAACAGAAAAATGCAGACTTAAAATAAGCATAATAAACGTTTCCTCAATTTCTAAAATTTGGTCCTCCTTTTCTGCTTCTAGCTATTTGTCCAATGCTTGTAGATAGTATGCTATTTTAGTAACAAAATATTTTGAGTTATCTACACTATAGCCTTAAAGTGCTTGCAAAGACTGTCTTACAAGTTTTCCCCAATGCATTCCTCCTAGGTTACCTTCATGTAAAAATAATGATGAACATAAGCAATATTTTATTAAAAGTAGTTACAACAATTACTACTTTATCCCCTTGTTTTTCAGAGTCTAAGTCACATAAATGATAAACCGGAGTTCAAACCCCATTAAGCCTCACATTTGTGCCTAACTTAACCACTATGCTCTAAGTGGATGACATCATACCTAGAAGCTGCTTCTTGAGACGTCCATGATCCAGTTTAAGAAAGTCATTTTGAATCTCTGTTGTTCATTTTTTTCTGAAGTGATTTATGCAAGGATTAACTTTATCCTTCAGATGAAACCCCATCCTTGTAAACACAGACTTGTGTCCTTACTCTCTCAGGGTCATAGATAAAACCATACCACAGTATGCGTATGTATAATAGCATCATTAAGCTAATAGAAATATACATATTTTGTAATGGAGAGTCAAAAAGTTTCTTCAGAGAAGAGACTAATATGAGCAGCCCAGTACCAATGAGAATATCCAGAATGGAACATAGAGGAAAGTCGTTTTCTGAGTAAATTAAATGGTTGATCAGGTACAAAAGATGTGACAAAGGCAATATTCTGAAAATGATTCTGTGATACCTAGTTTTGCTTATATTCTCTGGTTCTATTTTTATATATAAAACCAGATTTTTCAACATTGAATTCATGAAGTAGTGATATACATTAAGATATTTAAGTAATCCTTCAATTTTGATGCAAAGTTTGTGTATTTTTTTCAGCCACTTGCAGACTTCCCTAGATATATAGAAATGCATGTTGTAGTTGAAAAAACTTTGGTAAGTATATTCTGATTTATTTGCCTTATGTAAATTTATATTAGCAATGAGGAGTTATAAAAAATTGTGATAAAGTTATAACAAGACAATAAATGATAATTTTTGCTATATCTCTGCTTTAATGTATTTTAAATTACTAATATCAACAGTAAGTTGGAAATCAACTCTATATTTATTCTTAATTTTATATAAATAATGTAAATTAAAACAATTCGTACATTTAGGATAGTTTCTTAGTAATTTTTATCCATCCTTCCCATCCTCCTAGCACCTGGCAACCACTGATTTTTTTTACTGTCTCCATAGTTTTGCTTCTTTCAGAATGTTATGTAGTTGAAAGGCACAGTATGTAGCCATTACAGATTGGCTTCTTTCACATAGCAATATGCATTTAACTTTCCTCCATGCTTTTTCATGGCTTGATAGCTCATTTCTTTTCAGCACTGAATAATATCCCGTTATCTGAATGTACCACAGTTTATCAATTCACCTACTGAAGGATATGTTGATTGCTTCCAAGTTTTGGCAATTACGAATAAAGCTGCTGTAAACACCCATGTGCAGGTTTTTGTGTGGACAGAAGTTTCAACTCCTTTGGGCAAATATCAAGGAATACGATTGCTGGATCATATAATAAAAGTATTTTTCATTTTGTAAGAAACTCCCAGACTATCTGCCAAAGTGCCTATACCATTTTGCTTTCAGCACTTGAAATATATCATCCCACTGTTTTCTGGCCTCTGAGGTTTCTGCTGAGAAATTGGCTAGGAATCTTATCATCATCCCTTTTATGTGATTAGTTACTTCTCTCTTGCTGCTTTAAATATTCTACCTTTAGTTTTTGACAGTTTGATTATAATTTGTTTTATTATAATGTGTCTCAGTGTGTCTCTTTGGGTTTATCCTTCTTAGATTTTATTGAGCTTCCAGGATTTGTAGATTCATGTGTTTCATCAAATTGGGGAAGTTTTTAACCATTGTTTCTTCCAATAATCTCTCTTCTTCTTCTGGGATTCCCATAGTTCATATATTGTTCTGTATAATGGTATCCCATAAGTCCCTTCTTTTCTCATTTCTGTTTCTTAGACTCAATAATTTCAATTTTCCTATCCTCAAGTTTCCTGAATCTTTCATCTGCCTCTTCAAATCTGCTGTTGAACACTTATAGTACATTTTCAATTCAGTTATTGCTTTTTCAGCTCCAGAATTTATATTTGGTTTCTTTTTATAATTTCTATGTCTTTGGTGATATTCGCATTTGGTTCATATATCATTTTCCTGATTTCTCTTAGTTCTTTGTCTGTGTTTTCCTTTAGCTCTTTGAGCATATTTTAGATAGCTGTTTTAAAGACTTTGTCTAGTGAGTCTGCACTTCCTCAGGGAGGATTTCTCCCAATTTATTTGGTTCCTTGGGCAATGCCTTTTTGTTTCATTTTTTGCCTTATGATATAGATGGAATGTTTGTATCCCTTCAAAATTCATATCAAAACCTAATGCAATGTGATCGTATTTGGAGGTGGGACATTTGGGAGTGGCTTAGGTCATGAAGGTGGAACCCTCACGAATGAGGTTAGTTCCCTTATAAAAGAGACCCCAGAGAGCTCCCTGACCCCTTCTGCCATGTGAGGACACAGCAAAAAGAATGCAAGAAGGCCAACTATGAACTAGGAAGAGAGTTCTCATCAGATACTAGATCTACCGGAGCCTTGATCTTAGACTTCCCAGCTTCAAGAATGGTAAGAAATAAATGTTTGCTGTCTAAGCATCCAGTCTATGGTCTTTTTATCAGAGCAGCCCAAACTGACTAAGGCACTTTGTGATTTTTATTGAAAATTTAGCATTTAAAAAAATAACTACCTCTTGCAATTATTTTATCTTAATCTCCTCTAGATTAAGCCATGCCACACTGGACAGAGAATGGGGCAGCAGGGTATAAAAATATCACAAAATTTCTTGCCACTTTCAAGATGACTTTTTCATGAATGAACATTTGCTAGGTTGCTGTAGACCCTTGACTGTTTTCCAGAGTTTCTATAAGGTTATTTCAGCCAGTTTCTGGTTGTTCTTTGATGTTTCCATAGAGGAACAAGGGTTCAGAGCTTTCCCAGCTCTCCATTTTGCTGATGTCACTCCCCTTGAATAATATTTTAAATTATTTGTTGTTATATTTTTATGAAAGCTACTTTAAATTCTTGTCAGATAATTCTTTTTTTAAATTAATCAATTGATTTATTTTCAGATGTACATCATATTTCGAATTCTGTGTAGATTACATCATGTTCACCACCCGAAAACTAATTATAGTCCATCCCCTCACATGTGAGCCTAATCACCCCTTTTGCCCTCCTCCCTCCCACTATGGTAACCACCAATCCAATCTCCAATGCTATGTGTTTTTTTGTCGTCGTTTTCATCTTCTACTTATGAATGAGATCATATGGTATTTGACTTTCTCCCTCTAACTTATTTCACTCAGCATAATACCCTCAAAGTCCATCCATGTTGTCACAAATGGCAGGATTTCATCATTTCTTATGGCTGAGTAGTATTCCATTGTGTATATATACCACATCTTCTTTATCCATTCGTCCCTTGATGGGCACCTAGGTTGCTTCCATGTCTTGGCTATTGTGTGTAATGCTGCAATGAACATAGGGGTGCAAGTATCTTTATGCCTTTGTGTTTTCAAGTTCTTTGGATAAATACCCAGCAATGGGATAGCTGGATCATATGGTAGATCTATCCTTAATTTTCTGAGGATACTCCATACTGCTTTCCATAGTGGTTGCACCAATTTTTGCTCCCACCAGCAGTGAACAAGGGTTCCCTTCTCTCCACATCCTCTCCAACATTTGTTGTTTCCTGTCTTGTTAATCATAGCCATTCTGACTGGAGTGAGGTGACACTTCATTGTAGTTTTGATTTGCATTTCCCTGATAGCTAATGATATTGAGCATCTTTTCATATGCCTGATGGCCATCTGTATATCTTCTTTGGAGAAATCTCTGTTCAGATCTTTCCCCCATTTTCTAATTGGCTTGTTGATTTTTTTGTTGTTGAGCTGTATTAATTCTTTGTATATTTTGGATATTAACCCCTTGTCTGATATATGGTTTGCAAATATCTTCTCCCAATTGTTAGGTTGTCTTTTCGTTTTGTTGATGGTTTCCTTTGCTGTGCAGAAACTTTTTAGTTTGATGTAGTCCCATTTGTTCATTTTTTCTTTTGTTTTCCTTGCCCAGACAGACATGGGAATTGAAAATATGCTGCTCAAACCGATGTCAAAGAGCGTACTGCCTATGTTTCCTTCTAGAAGTCTCATGGTGTTGGGTCTTACATTCACGTGTTTAATCTATTTTGAGTTGATTTTTGTGCATGGTGTAAGGGAATGGTCTACTTTCATTCTTTTGCACATTGCTGTCAATTTTCCCAACACTATTTATTGAACAGACTATCCTTTCTCCATCGTATGCTCTTGGCTCCCTTGTCAAATATTAGCTGTCCATAAACGTATGGGTTTACTTCTGGGCTCTCAATTCTGCTCCATTGATCTGTGTGTCTACTTTTGTGCCAGTACCATGCTGTTTTGGTTACTATGGCTTTTTTGAAATCAGGGAGCGTGATACCTCCAGCTTTGTTCTTTTTTCTCAGGAATCCTTTGTCTATTCTGGGTCTATTGTTGCTTCATATAAATTTTAGGATTCTTTGTCCTATTTCTGTAAAAGTGTTTTTGGGACTTTGATAGGGATTTCATTGAATCTATAGATTGCTTTAGGACGTATGGACATTTTCACAATGTTAATTCTTCCAATCCAAGAGCACGGAATCTCTTTCCATTTCTTTGAGCCTCCTTCGATTTCTTTCAACAACATTTTATAGTTTTTGGTTTACAGATCTTTCACCTCTTTGGTTAAGTTTATTCCTAGGTATTTTATTCCTTTTGTTGCAATTGTAAATGGGATTGGGTTCTTAATTTCTCTTTCTGCACCTTCGTTGTTAGTGTATAGAAACGCAGACAATTTTTGTATGTTGATTTTGTTTCCCGCGAATTGACTGTATTCCTTTATTGTTTCTAAAAGTTTTTTAGTGGAATCTTTAGGGTATTCTAGATATAAAATCATGTCATCTGCAAAGAGTGACAGTTTCACTTCTTCTTTTCCGATGTGGATCCCTTTTATTTCTTTTTCTTGCCTGCTTGCTCTGGCTGGGACTTCCAATACAATGTTAAATAAGAGTGGTGACAGTGGGCATCTTTGTCTGGTTCCTGTTCTTAGAGGGATAGTTTTCATTTTTTTCTCCATTGAGAATAATATTTGCTGTGGGTTTGTCATATATGGCCTTTATTATGTTGAGGTCTTTTCCTTCTATACCCATTTTATTTAGAGTTTTTATCACAAATGGATGCTGTATCTTGTGAAATGCTTTCTCTGCATCTATAGATATGATCATGTGATTTTTATTCTTCATTTTGTTAATGTGCTGTATCACGTTGATAGATTTGTGGATGTTTAACCATCCCTGCATTTCTGGAATGAAACCCACTTGATCATGATGTATGATCTTTTTGATGTATTGTTGTATTCCATTTGCTAGTATTTTGTTGAGGATTTTCGCATTGATGTTCATCAATGATATTGGCCTATAATTTTCTTTTTTGTGTTGTCTTAGTCTGGTTTGGGTATCAGGATAATGTTGGCTTCCTAGAAGGAGTTAGGAAGCCTGCCCTCCTCTTCAATTTTTTGGAAGAGTTTGAGAAGGATAGGTATGAAGTCTTCTTTGAATGTTTGGTAGAATTCACCATGGAAGCCATCTGGTCCTGGACTTTTATTTTTTGGGAGGTTTTTGATTGCTGTTTCGATCTCCTTACTGGTGATCAGTCTATTCAAATTTTCTACTTCTTCTTGGTCCAGTTTTGGAAAGTTGTATGTTTCTAAGAATTTATCCATTTCTTCTAGATTATCCAATTTGTTGGCATATAGCTTTTCATAGTATTCTCTTAT